GAGTCAGCTGTGGCCTGAGAAGGCAACCTGTAAGGCAGTGGCAGGGCCTTGCTTTTCCTTTTAACCTTTGTTTGAGGTTCTGTAAGTCCACTTTTTGGTTAGAGGGAAATAAGCTAAAAATTTAAAAACAATTGGTATTGGTTCTCAGTGTAATGGAACGAATGGAGGTGAAGAAGGTGTGCATTGGCACAGAAACCACTGTGCTGTGTCCTCCCCGCCCACTGGCGTCTGGGGCAGAGTGGATGTAGTGCCATTCACTACGTAGCAGATCTGCTTTAGGTCTGTCAACTTTAGAACAGCTGAGGTATATCCAGATGGTAATTAAATTAGGACCTGAATGAGCGGAGCTAGAACTTAATGAGAATCTTAGCTGGCGATGCTGATTGAAGTGAAGGCCAGGGGCAGATATGGGGTGGTTAGTGGAGTGTGTGAGAAGTGAGTTGAGGACAGATCAGAGGAACAAGGGCATAGAGACCACTAGCAGAGCAGACCGGAGAGGGAGTGTCCAGAAGCAGAGTCCAGCCAGCATCAAGAATGGTTGACAAGTGAAGTAAAGCCTGAGGAGTGACTTCTGTCTGAGGAAACAGGTGACTGGGAGGGAGCGGGCTCTCCAGAAGGGATGTGAGGTGTCTGACCTGAATTACAGGGTGCAGGTGAGGAGTTGTGTAGGAGGCTTACTGTTCGGCAGGGAAGGTTGGAGACTCTTGGCAGCTGTTGAAGGGTATATGTAACTTGACACCTGGACGTCAAGTTTTTCCTGTATCTGCTTCTTGGAAGGCTCAAGGTAAACTAACAACTGTCCATCAGGATTTTAATGTCTTTTCCACAAGATTCTTTAGCAGCGTTATTTACTGTAAGTCTCTAACTGTTGACTTCCCTAAGCTTGGATGGCACTGTGGTCCTTCAGCATGGCCTAATGGAGGGGAGTGGGAATGGGCCTTGCAACTGTAATTGAAACCCAGACCCTGAATAAATTACCACTTTGGCCTGTTTTTCCTGACCAGGGAAGTGGGAAGTGAGGATATGAAACTTCCTTCATTGGTAAGCTGTTGTGAGTTTAGTGTGAAGACATGTAGAATTTGTTATAATTAACCAGGCATTCCATAAATGTGTCTAGAAAACCAGCGACTTCATGTTCTGCGTGCCAACTTTGCAGTTCTTATATTGACTTAAAGTAGTGCGATACGATGTCATAACTTTAAATAAGACCAAGCATACTCAATTGAAATGTAAATGAAAGAATAGCCTTTAAATTAAAATGAGATGTTTCTTTTCTTGCTTGCCCCCATCCAGGTCCTGAGGGAGTCTAACAAATTAGCTGAAATGGAAGAACCACCCTTGCTTCCTGGAGAAAATATTAAAGACATGGGTGTGTAATTCTTTTCCTTACACCTCTTCCTCCTGTCTGATTGATACACAGAGGCCCCTCCTGCCCAGCACCCTCTCTCCTTGCTGCCCTCCCCTTTCCACATCCTGGACCTCAGCCATATCTGTGTCCCTGCTGCATTGGTCCTGGTGGGCAACATGTAGCTGAGCCTTGCCCTGCTGCTTCTCTCAGTCCCTTGTTTATTTTCTTTGAAAGAAGCTGGCTAGTTTGTTGTTGTTTTGTTTTTTTGTTTTTAAGCTGTTGTTGAATTTTGGAAAATTTCATTATTTTGAATTCCTGCATTTGGATATTGGGTTGCTAGATAGAAAACCACTGAAGTGTCACTTTATGCAAGTCGTTCTTACAGCACATTCTCTCTCACCTCCTTATATGTTTTTCTCCTCTGAATAAACTCAGGTCCATTTTTGGATGAAAATACTTCACCTCCATTGCAGAACAAGCTGTTCGTATGTAGACGCTTTCCTCTGTCCAGCCTAAAACTAACAATATGGGCTGAGAACTGGAGATGAGCCAGCATGCTGCAGTTCTGTCTTTGCGCTCCTGCTCTGTCGTGATAGTCTACAAAATACTTAAAGATTTTGAGAAATTATTACAGCAGACACCAAAGTAGATACCAGCTTTCATTTTATCAGTGATAATTTAAAAAAAATTAATGAATTCTTTTTTTTCACTTTCTGTCACTAGCTGTCATTTCTTGTGTGAAAATAGACATGTCAGAGGGAAGAAGTACCTCTTGATGGGCTGTTATTAACTGCTAATTGTAGCTTCTTAGCACTGAGCATGGCATTTGTCCCTTCGTTCTTTGACATGATTGAGTAGCCTCCCAGACTTTCTTCCCGATTCAGGCTTCTGTGTGTGATGCACTAAGCTCTCCATCTGCTAAACTACTTCCTGAGTTAGCGTGTGTCACCAGCATGGGACCTTGAACGATGACAGAGTTGTTAGTATGCTGCTCACTGTCTCATGTAGTTACTCTCAGAGTGAGGTTCTGAGGAAGACGTTAGCCCCTCTTGGTAGATGAGGAGACCGTTATGTTAGCATTGTGACAGTTTCTTTTCTCCTGTTCTGAACTTAACACCTAAGCTCTTTCTTCCGTATCACGTGTGGCCATATGCAAGACTTCAGTCACCATTCAAGTCTCCTTCGTTTACCCCCTTCCTAAATATCACAGCTCCCTAGGCTTAATCTTTAATCCACTTCCCTCCTTCATATTCTTTTCAGTTGATTGTATCTAAACTATCAAATTCACATACCACATCTTGGTTGATGATTACAAAATCTGTTTCCAGTGCTAACCTCTGTCTAAGGCATATAAATAAATGCCTGTCTCTTGGACACACCCTTGATCTCCAGATGTCTCCACAGTGGAGGTACTTTTTTCACCCCACTTGCTCATTTTCTTGCATCACTCAAATCAGAAAGCTGGTTGTCATCCTTGACTGTTCCTTTTTCCTGAATTCTTTTTTCTTTTTTTTGCAGTATTGGGGTTTGAACTCAGGGCCTACACCTTGAACACTCCACCAGTCCTTTTTTTGTGAAGGGTGTTTTTGACATAGGGTCTCCTGAACTGTTTGCCTGGGCTGGCTTTGAACCGTGATCCTCCTGATCTCTGTCTACCTCCTGAGTAGCTAGGATTACAGGCATGAGCCACCAGTGCCTGGCTTCTGAATTGTTAACATCCATGTAGTTACCAGATCTGGAGAGTCATTTGCTAAGATTTTGTTGAATTTATTTTTCCCTTTTCCTGAGTCCTCAGTATAATCTTTACGTATACTGAATTTTAGGTACTGACGACTCAGTGTAAATATTGGAAAAACAAAAAAGAGAGACTTGGGCTTGTGTTCATATCTGTGAATCATCAGCACATGGATATTAATTGAAAATAGGAGGCAGAAAGTAATCTAGAGGGTGTATGGAATGAGAAGAGACCCAAGCACACAGCTTTGTGAACACTAACACTGCAGGTTTATGGGAGAAGAGGAAAGAGGGAGAGAAGTAGGGTATAGAGAGTGGTGTAGGATGAACTGGGAGAGAGGCCCACTAAGCACTCACCTTTGTCACAGTAGGCGTGTTACTTCCCACCTCTGCACTTGGATCTGGCTCTTCTGCACTGAGTACTTTGCTGCCACCTCTGCTGTGCAAAGGATGCTCCCATTGGGAAGACTGGAGGCTGTTTCCCACTCATAGCTCCTCCTGACCCCAGGGCCCACTGGACCCTGTGTTACCTAGAGTGTGTCTATCTCTGCACAGGTTGCATGTTGTGTGCATTGCATTCGTTTGTGTGTGCTTACTGCCTTCATATATGTGTATTTTCAAGGTTATCTTGGTATACCTTATAGAAACTCAGATTCTTTCTCTCACCTCAGGCAGAGTGTGAGATTAGTAAATCTAAAGTCTTGGTTCCACTAGGAGTGTTACTATTGCAAAAACTAAAGTACCTGTATAAAATATCCTAATTTAAAATCATCTGCGTACACTTGATTATTGTTGAAAAATTAAATTTAATAGGAAAAAAGCCTGAGCTTAAGGTAAGCTTGCATTTTTCCATGCCAAGAAAAGGGCCTTGGATTTTAAGGTGGCTTAATGTAAGTCTGTGGCTTAGATTTTTTGAAAAAAGTTGTGCCAAGGCATAGAAACTTTGGCAGAATGCTCAGGCTTTGTGGGCCTCAGCAGAGTAGCGGCATCCCAGACAACTCACTCAGTGAGCTGCTGTGTTAAGAGAAGGGAGCCTGTGGCTGTGGGAAGAGGCTGGAGTTTTAGTCACAGGACTGGATCCAAGTGTCAGTATCACAGTCACAGTCTCGAACACTGGGCAGTGGAGTTCACATTTCTGACCCCAAACTCTCATCTAAAAATTGTGGGTGTTTGTGTTTCTGAGAGTTGCTAAGGCTAAGTTGGTGCTCAGGTGAGGAGCACGAGGTGCCCTCTGTCTCCACAGCCTGAGGGGGAACAATAGACGGGCCGAGAAAGGCAGAGGCTAATGATGACAGAAGCAGCTCGGAGTAACCTTCACTTACAATTTTCGGAGCACTTTGGTGTATGGTATCTCACTGTTTTGTAAGAACGAGGAGGAGTCCAAAGGCATTAGCCCATGAGGAACACATCCTGTGGTGGGTTTCAGGAAAACGAGCGCAAGATAAGTCTCTGCATCTTTATATAATGATGGCTAATTTAATTTAAAAAACTTCCCTCCAATTAAACTGATTTAAAAAGTGTAGCTCATGCTTGAGTATTCCTAAGGGAACTATTTTGAAGGTTAGAAATGATTGTTAAAAGATCACTCTCGTTTCAGCAGTGCTTCAAAGTGAGGAATGAAAAGCAAAGCCAGGAAGTTGCAGCATCTTCCTAAACATATTTCGTGGGCCTCAGTTTTCCCGGAAGCCCTTTGGAGGTTTTTAGAATGTGGGTGCTCTGCAGACTTGCGCCTTACATCCTGGGAATGATAAAGGCACTCTTCCATCTGCTGATTTGTCACAGTAATGGCATGCCAGGAGTTTGTAAACACTTTAAGATACAAAAACTTTGTAAAGGGCATCATGAACGCTGCCATTTAAATATTTTATTATAAAATTTTTATTAGGATATATTTGTTATGCAAGGGGGTTCATAGTGACAATTCTGATTAGACTTACATTGTACATTGGTTACATTGCCTCCATCGTCCCTCTCTCCTCAGCCCCCTCCCCGCCCACTTAAAGCTATTGCAAGAGGTTTCTATGTTCTGTTTCCTGTAAGTATATGTAGTCCATCTACCATATTCCCTCACCTAATCTCCTTCATTCACCTGCCCCCTTCCACTAGTACCCCCTCACCTATTTTACAGTTCTGTCTTTCATTAGTAATATTTAAGTTCAAAGGGATTTTTCAGTGTATGCCCACTGTGAGTCTATGTTCAACCCCCTCTATTACTCTCCCTTACCCCTTTATCTCCCACCCCTCATTTTTACAGAACTTTTAATACATATCCTTACATCCTCTACCTTCACAGATGTTGTTTCACGATATTACTGATTCTCTATCGTTCTCTTTTCCTTTCCCTCTTTGAGCTAGTGGTTGCTGAGTTACCCTGCTTTATCGAGTAATACATGTTTTCAAAACATAATACCATGTAGATTCCTCATTTAGCATTCAATAAAAACATTGCTTGTGATCAGTTCTCTAGAAAGTTGGACATTGGTTTCTTGGTCAGGAATATAATATCCTTTTACTATTTTTTAAGCAGATTAAGTTTAATATGCATTTCATTTCACCTGCAATAGCTTCCTCAGGTATAATGGGATCAGGAGTGTCTGGCATTAATGTTTCAGTATTGTATTTCTAGAGATGGGTTAACAAACTGGACTGGGACGTAGTCTACAGACTGATAAGGTGAATGCTGACTGAGTTGAACATTTACCAGTGCTGCCACATTGCCAGCACTCCTCCACTGCTACTCCAGCCGTGTCCCCTGCTGTACCCGACGAGGATGTTGTCCTGTCTGACTCAGACGGAAAGGTGCCCTCCACCCCTTCAGTCTTCCAGATTAGTGCATGGTGGGAGACTTGGTTAGCATCTGAGGCCTTTTGGAATCATCAGTTTTGTGACTTTTAGTGTACATTAGACTCACTTCATAAGATGAGGAAGCTGTTTTGATAAGCACTGTGCAGAGTGAACTGAATGTTTTGTCTCCTCAGCCAAAGATGTAACTTACATATGTCCCTTCACCGGTGCTGTGCGAGGTACCCTGACTGTCACCAACTACAGGCTATATTTCAAAAGCATGGAACGGGTAAGACTTGTTGGAACAGAGTTTTTGAATGCATGTATATGTGTGTAGTGTTTGCAACCAGTTTTGTTCACTTCTGATCAGTTTTAAAGGATTTCCTTTTTTTTGTGGTACTGTGGTTTGAACTCAGGGCTTTGTACTTGCTAAGCAGGCACTCTACCACTTAAGCCTTGCCTCCAGCCCCAATTAAAGAATTTCTGATTCAAGTTTCTTTATTTTGGTGTGTGTATGTGCATATGCATGTGCTTACGCATATGCATGTGTGTTTATATGTGTGTATGTACATGTGTGTGCATGTGTGTGTGTACGTATGTGTGTATATGCATGCATGTGTGTGCATATACATAGGTATATGTACGTGTGTGTCTATATGTCTGTGAATGTGTGTGTGTGTTATGTGTATGTATGTGTGTTGGTGGCGATTGAATCCAAGGCATAGGCAAGCTCTCTGCAACTGAGCTCTATCACTAGACCTCTAATTAAGATTTTTGTCTTTAATTGTATAGTGTTAGTTGCTCAGTTTTGTGTTTTCTTTCTTTATTTTAGGATCCCCCATTTGTTCTAGATGCTTCTCTTGGTGTGATTAGTAGAGTAGAAAAAATTGGTGGTGCTTCTAGTCGAGGTGAAAATTCTTACGGGCTGGAAACTGTGTGTAAGGTAAATTTTATTATACATACGTATAATAAAAAGCTTTTTGTGAAAAGCTGCTTACTAAAAATAGCCTGTATTTGGAAACTGATTTTCAAAATTCCAAGTGAATTGTATATCTGAGTGTCATCCTAGCAGAAGAAAACACATACGCCAGGCGTTTAATACCATGCACTACCTGTCCAGGTCACCATTCTATGTATGGCTGTCTCAATTCCAGGCCACATTGTGCCTTTCTTCTGCTGTCCTGCCAATGCCAACAGGAAAAGAAACAGACATGTATAACTCAAAATGTTTCTTTTGATAATCTTAGAAGGTTTTTGAATCTAGTATTAAAACTAATGACTAAATCATCATCGTTTTTCACTAGAAGGGCTCTATGCGTGCATAGCCATGTGTCAGGCACATTGCTTTCTCCTTGCTTTTCTGTAGTCTTACAGGAATAGAGCATAGGATGAAAGACAATGGGAAGGAGGCTGACTTTGGAGTCTTGCTCACTTGAAATAGGTTTTTCCCCCATGAATAAAACATTAGCATAGTAGGGTCCTTGCTTTGGAACTTTCAGAGAGCTCCATAGTTAACATGGTGACTGAGTACAACTCTCTACTGGTTATATGTTAACTGTGGGAACTCCATGGTTAACACAGTGATTCTTAGTACACTTCTCCATTAGTTATGAGACATTCACTTAGGAAATTCCTTCGTTAACATAGTGACTCTGGGTATACCGCTCTACTAGTTTGACATTCACAGGGGGAAAATAAGATCTCAGCTTCCGGTCACATATTTCTGTTTCACAGTATGGTAATACTAGCATTCTGGTTTTGGATCAGATTTATAATACACTGTTTTATTATTTGTATTGTAGGTGTATTGTACTATAATGTCTCTTTGTTAGATTCTATATAATGAGGTACATAAAGCTATTCCAGTTTCTGCCTAGATTAAAAACATTTAAATCAAAGACAGTCTTGAAATTGTGCTTAATCTCACATTTTTCTAAGTGTTGTTGAGATATCGGTAAGCCAGATAATGAGTATTTACAGTCAGCCTAAGCATGAAAAATTGCTTGAGGACAAATAACGGAGGAGAGCCCTGGTCCTTAGATCTGATTGTAGACCTGGAAGACTCAAGGAAATTCTCCAGAATTTTCCTGCCAGGAGGTGGAACTTGAAGATGAGTGAAGGAACTTGGGAGATAGATGGAGTGGAGGAACTTGGAGATAGAATGGGGGAACTTGGAGATGAATGGGGGAGATGGAGATGGATTAGGGGAACTTGGAGATGAATGGGGGAACTTGAGATGGAGTAGGGGAACTTGGTGATGAGTGGAGGGAACTTGATATGGAGTGGGGGAACTTAGAGGCGAGTAGGGGAACTTGAGATGGAGTGGGAGAACTTGAAGTTGGAATGGGGAAGGTGGAAGATGAGTGGGGGAACTTGAGATGGAGTGGGGAAGATCTTTAGTAACAGTTTGGTTCTGTCAGATTTGGAGCAGTGGGCTTAAGAAGAGAAGGTTACATGGAAATGGTCCTGCGAAGGGATAGTGAGTAGAAAAATCTTCACCAGACATGGTGGAAATGTAGTAACAGCTATTCAGGTTTTAATGACAAAAGTGGGGGTCCACAGGGAGTGGTGGTATTTGCTAGTCATGATGCTAAGCTTCAGATACAGTGCCTGGAATCTCCAGTTCTTATATCATTTGCTTCCGCTTTTCCTGGCCCATGTTGAGTCCACAAGCATAGGTAAATTTTCTGCCCTCTGAATCCTGATCGGTATTAAGTGCCTTCTTGTGTTTCTTTTTATTTCTCCCAGTGAACCGTTATAATTCCCCTGCTTCTAGGAGCTGTGGTGTGTTGTTGTATTCCATATTTACAGATCTTAACACTTTACAAGATTGTTCCAAGTAACTTTATTTATTCATTAAATAAAAAGTGAACGGTGTTTAACTTGGATCCTAAATCTTCTAGGATATTAGGAATTTACGATTTGCTCATAAACCTGAGGGGCGAACGAGAAGATCTATATTTGAGAATCTCATGAAATACGCATTTCCTGTCTCTAACAGCCTGGTAAGATGCTTATAATATTTGAAAAGTATGTGTTATGATTATTGGCATAAAGAAACTTGACTAGGTTGTATAGAATCTCCTAATTTATATCCCTGCTTTGACATTTAACCAAACATATAATTTAGGTTTAATTTAGTCTGTTTGTTTAGATAGGAACACTAGCTCATTTCAGGGTCCATTCCATTACTAACATTCTACAGTTACATGATCTCTGTGTCTGGGGTTTCCGTGACTGAAAGCTACACGTGGTGTTCATTAGGATTTGAAGCCTCCTTTGTAGTTGGGAGCTAACAGTTAAGACTAGCAGTTTGGGACTCTGGCTGAACTGCCCACTTCATGAGAGTGTTCGGCTGCCTCCCTTCTTCTGTGCAGCTTACTTCCACCGCAGTCCGGCTGCCGTCAGAGATGAGAACAACCCGAGGGCATCACTGGGGGAATTGGGAAGCAGCACTGGTTCTCTGCCTCCACTTTAATTTGTTTTAACATCATAGCTAATTCTGCCATTATGTCTATAAAAATGATAATTATTTTTGGCATACAGGTTGTATGCCAAAAAATAAAAAAGCTTATTTGGTTTGTTTTAGGATGTAGCGTGAACTTCAGAACTATGTACTTGCTGTTATCTGTGGTTTCAAACTGTGAATTGTGTTGGAAGATTGTTGTTCTGAAAATGTCTTCATTATTTAGGTTTTAAACCTACAAAAGCTACCAAAGATATCTCAAGGAATATGATACATTTGCTGTGATGAATTTTTGGGGTTGTTTCTCTGTGCTTTTCTATTCTTTAAAAAATATGTTAAAAACAGTACATCTTTAAATACAGAACTATTTTTTTAAAATGTGATAAAATATTCTTGGATAGAAGTAAATTAAAACTTTTTAAGGACGTATTTCTGACTCATTACCTTCTTATATGTCTTTTTAAACTATTAACTGTTTACTTTCTTGTAGCCTCTTTTTGCTTTTGAATACAAAGAAATATTCCCTGAAAATGGGTGGAAACTGTATGACTCTGCTTTGGAGTATAGAAGGCAGGTATGTATTTTATTGTTTCAGATTTAGTGTTCTGTGTTCTTTTCATTATGAAGGGCATGTGATGAGCAGAAGTAAACAGCTCTTCAGGGTTTTGTTTTTACTTAAGCCAACCCCAGTGGTTGTTTCCTTTTCATCTTGTTTGAACTACTTTCCAGAATATATCAGTGATTTTCTATAAATCTTTACTCATCTTAGAGTTGATAAGTATCAACTTTACTTAAAAAAGTGTTTAATCATTATGAAAATAAAGATAAGATAAGTATATGTACACTTCAGTATTATTATATACCCTTAACATTAGTCACTCAGATTTTTTCTTTCTGTGGTATCCTATGGTTTAATTCTAAAGAAATTCGTTAATAATTCTGTTGCTTATAATTTAGCGCTACATGAATGTTTGAAAGTTTTGCATCTTCATTGAGGACGTAGTGAACTTCCTGTTTTGTTGATTTACTTTGGTCAGTAGCCATAATAAGAGCACCCCCTCCGCATTTGATACAAATTCATTCCATCTTTTATTTTACATGTGGATTGAAGCCTAACTCCTCCTGGTGGTCTTTGCAAGGATTTCCCCTATGTTCTTCCTGTCTTTCCTGTGCTGAAATGTTTTGCTTTCTCTTTCTTCACCAGTGTCCCCAGCTTTTGAAATAATCATCTCTGTTGCTTCTTTGGTGTTTTTTGAGCTCCAAGAAGGAAGGTACCATATCTCTTTGCTACTGCTGTGTCCTCAGGTTGTGCGCTGTGCCCGGCATGTAGTAGACAACTCTTGCATGGTGATGCTTAGGAGACTGTAGATATTTGTCAACTAACAAATCCTCTTGTGTATTGGTTTTATTTACTAAACCACGTGGTGCACACATATGGCACATATGTATGCCAGGCCTTTCCTCAAGTTTTTCCTAAATAGTCATTTTTTTTTCAACTTTTAATCTTTTCATTATTATTATTTTTGTACTGGGGTACATTGTGACATTTACCAAAGTTCTTACAATAGATCATAGTTGAATTCACCCCCTCCATTATTTTCCTTTATCCCATCTCCCCCCATTCCTGGAATAGTTTCAGCAGGTCTCATTTCTCCATTTTCATGCATGAGTACATGATAGTCCCACAATATTCAGTCTTACACTCCCTTTCCCTACATCCGCCCCGCCTCCCACTGGTGCCAACCCACAGACAGAACCTGTTTTACCTTCCTGTTGTCTATTTTTTTAAAAAAGGCATTTTCGTTTGTATAAGATAGCTATATAGACAGTTTCATTGTGACATTTTTATATATATATATGTATTGTAACCCGAATTGGTTCATTCCCTCTATTTTTCTCCTTTCTGCCTTAGTCCCCATCTTATGGTGGTTTCAACAGGTTTAAAAATTCCATATTCATTCTTGTACAGAGAGTACATCAACCATACTCACCTTCCTAACTCCCTTCTTTTGCCCTCCCCCTCCCGTTAATGACTGACCCTTAGTGTCTCCTGTTTTTCATAATACTGCTTGTGTTTGTATTGGGCCTCTATTCCACAGATGAGAGAAGATGTGGCCTTTGGCTTTCTGGACCTAACTTCACTTAAGATGGTGTTCTCAGTTCCATCCATTTACCCGAATATGACAAAATTTCATTCTTCTTTATGGCTGAAAAAAATTCTTTGTATATAAGTACCACATTTTCTTAATTCATTCATCAGTAGTGGGGCATCCAGGCTGTTTCCATAGCTTGACTGTTGTGTGTAGTGCTGCAGTAAACACAGGTGTGCAGTTGTAACCTGACTTAACATTCCTTTGGGTATATCCTGAGGAGTGGAATTGCTGGGTCATAAGGCAGTTCTCTTTGTAGTTTTTTCAGGAAACTCCATACTGTTTTCCATAGTGGTTGTACTAATTTATATCCCCACCGGCAGTGTACGAGGGTTCCTTTTGCCCCACATCCTTGCCAACATTTGTTGTTGTTTGTGTTCTTGATGGTAGCCATTCTAACAGGAGTGAGGTGGAATCTTAACATGGTTTTGATTTGCATTTCCTTTATGATGAGGGATGTTGAGCATTTCTTCATGTGTTTTTTGGCCATTTGGACTTCTTTGAAAGCCTCTGTTCACTTAATTTGCCTATTTCTTCATTGGACCATTTAATCTTTGGGAGTTTAGTTGTTTAAGCTCCTTGTATATTCTGGTTATCAATCCCTTGTCACATGTACAGCTGGCAAAGATTTTCTCCCATTCTGTGGGTGGCCTCTTCAATTTAGAGAACATTTCTTTTGTTGTGCAGAAGTGTTTTAGTTGATGTAGTCCCATTTGTTAATCCTTTCTCTTAGTTGCTAAGCTGCTTGAGTTCTACTGAGGAAGTCCTTGCCTATGCCTATTGCTTCTAGCATACTCCCTGCTCTTTCCTGTAATAGCTTCAAAGTTTCAGGTCTGATATTAAGGTCCTTCATCTACTTTGAGTCGATACTTGTACAGGGTGATAGGAATGAACCTAGTTTCAGTTTTCTGCAGGCAAATGTCCAGTTTTCTCAGCAACATTTGTTGAAGAGGCTGTCTTTTCTGCATTGTATGTTTTGGATGCCTTTGTCAAAAATCACGTGGGCATCGCTGCATGGATTCATATCTGGGTCTTCTGTTCTGTGCCACTGATCTTCATATCAGTACAAGACTGTTTTTATTGCTATGGCTCTGTAGTACAGTTTGAAGTTGGGTGTTGTGGTATCTCCAACATAGGGCTTTTTGCTCAGCATTGCCTTGGCTATTCACAGACTTTTATGCCTCCAGATTAACTTTTGGTTGATTTTTCAATCTCTGATGAATGTCATTGGAATTTTGATGGGGATTGCATTGAACATGTTTGCTTTTAGTACCATAGCCATTTTTACAATATTGATTCTGCCAATCCAAGAGTGTAGGAGATCTTTCCATTTTCTGCAGTCTTCTTCATTTTCTTTCTTCAATTGTTTATAGTTTTCATTGTAAACGTCTTTCACTTTCTTTGTTAAGTTTATTCATAGGTATTTTTTTGAGGCTTTTGTAAATGGAAGTGTTTTCCTATGTTCTTTCTCAGTGTGTTCACTGCTGGTATATAGAAAGGCTATTGATTTTCATTAATTGATTTTGTATCCTGCTACTTTGCGGAAGGTGTTTATGATATCTAGAAGTTTTGGGTGGAGTTTTCCAGGTCTTTTAGGTGTAAAAATCACATCATCTGCAAATAGGATAGTTTGACTTCTTCCTATTTGAATTCCTTTTATTTCTTCTTCCTGTCTTACTGCTCTAGCTAGGAATTCTAAGAATATGTTGATTAAGAGTGGAGAAAGCGGACACCCTGTCTCATTCCTGACTTTAGAGGAAATGGTTTTGGCTTTTCCCCATGTAGTATAATGTTGGCTATAGGCTCGTCATATATAACTTTTATTACATTGAGGTACATTCCTTCTATTCCTAGTTTCATCAAGAGCACTTATCATAAAAGGATGTTGAATTTTGTCAAGGGCTTTTTCTGCATCTATTGAGATGATCAAGTGGTTTTTGTCTTTGCTTCTGTTTATGTGCTGTATTACGTTTAATGATTTGCATATGTTGAACCATCCCTGTATCCCTGGGATGCAACTGACTTGATTGTGGTTTATGATCTTTTTGATAATGTTGCTAAATTCAGTTCATCAGTACTTTATAGAAGATTTTTGCATCTAAGTTCGTTAAAGAGATTGACTTACAATTCTTTTTTGTTGTTGTTGTGTCTGGTTTTGGGATGAGTGTAATACTGGCTTCCTGGAATGATACTGGCAGTGTTCCTTCCCTTTCTATTTCATGGATAAGTTTGAGGAGTGATAGTGTTAGTTCTTCTTTAAAGGTCTGGTAGAACTCAGCAGTGAATCTGTCAAGTCCTAGACTTGTTTTTTGGGAGACTCTTTATTGTGCTTTGGGTTCATTGCTTGTTACAGATGTCTAGGTAGTAATTCTTGATCTTTATAATTCTGTGAAGTAGGTACTAATACATTATTTTACAAAAGCAACAGTGGATGCTAGAAACAGGGTAAGTTTATTTGTAGTGTGTGGAAATAAAATACACCAGCTGAGAATTTCATTCCAATAACTATATTCCTCAGAAATGAAGGGAAAGTTAGAATATTTTTAGACAAAACGTTAACAGTCAGAGAAAACTCTAAAGGACGAACATCAGGCAGAATGAAAGTGAGTCCAGACAGAAGATGAGAGATCACTGAGCAGACGAAATGCAGATGCAAATGAACAGAGTGTTTAGAACACAACCATGTGTCTAAGTATATGATGTGTAAGACATCAGTGACACATGACTCAGAAGAAGGGTAAGAATCAGCAGTGCTTAAAGGCCCTTGTGTTGTCTGCAAGATGAGGAAAGGTACTTACCATACTAGAATTTGCTAAGATTGTGTGTTCTAAAGTATAACACTGTGCACATGGTAGAAAAGAAATGTTAACAGTCCTAATGAGCTGAAGTTCCCCTTAGAAAGTTAGAAAGGAATAATGAGGAAATCCTAAGGAAAGTAGAAGGAAGAAAATAATAAAAATATGAACAGATATGAATGGGACAGAAAGATAGGATTAGCAGAAACAGTAATAGTATCTCTGCAGCGATTAATAGCATCATCAAACCTCAAGAGAGACTTGTGAAGCAATATTCCCAAGTAAGCAGTGTTAGAAAGAGAGGAGAGTGTCCCTGCTAGCCTGTAGATGTTAAGGGTACTATCAGAATATTGTATTTTAAATGCCTGTCATTAAATTAAATAGTGTGGGTGAAATGAGCAGTGGCTTACAAAAATACAGCTTGCCAGAACTGATTTAAGACGAAATGGAGAGCCCATGAAACCTTTTATCTGTACACAAATCTGTATCAAGTTTCAGGGGTAAGTTCTACTACACATTTAAGGAAGACACATCATAAAAATCTTTCAGAAAAGTGTTTTAAAAGGTCACCTTCTTCACCATATGAATCTAGCGTACCTTAAATTAAAACTCCTGTGAGGACAATGAGAAAAAAAATGGTAGGCCAGTTGTACTTGTAAATATATTCAGAATGCCTATGTGGAATTTTGAGAGATTGACTCAGGTAGTGCACACTAATTTTAGAAAACCTATGAGTGCAGCTCACCACATTAAGATTAAAGTAGAATCCAGTCTTAAAATCTGTTAAGTGAACCATTCCTCCTCAATATAGTTAGTACTTCACAAAGAGCTCCTGTATTGCACCACTTAAACTCTACCTAAAATAGACTTGTTTCTGTTTGAACTTTCCTCATGCCCACTGTGCTTTCTTACAAGTTTAAGTTCAAGCACATTGTTTCTTGGTAATCAATAGATTTGCTCTCCAAATTATTTTAGAATTTGAATATGAAAGTCCTTAAGCTGTGACTTTTGTATTTGTATTTCAGACATTCCCCTTTAATTATAAAGCTTCTAATTTACTTAGCTTTATTTTGCAAAGCCAGGAGAATAAAACACCATCACTAGAGAGCTGAAGATCTTCAAGTGGTTTGAGGTTGAGTTTGTTACTAAGATCACATGTGGCAAGTGAAATTTAAAATTTCCCATTGTTTTATTATACCAACAATTGGTAAGATATAAAAAAACAATACAAAATAAATGGGAATCAACAAAAAAAGTGTCTAGAAGTAACAGCACAAGTTTTTTGTTAATCCAGAAAATCTAAATGTCTTTAAAATTGTAAAGATGAGGAATCTGGGCGAAATTGTCTGTTTTAGCAGCATTCAACATAGAACTTTGGAAAGCAGATGAGATAACTGTCCAGAGAAAATTATTTTTACAAAGAAAAGAAGATCTGTGAGCAACTGTGTCTATAAGCGAATTGTGGGACTAGGAAGCCTGGCGGCAGGGCTGAGCGCCCAGCTCTTAGTGGACGACAGTGGACGTCCCGTGGACCCCGACCCTTTAAATTAGCAGGCATGAGAATAGCACTGTGTGCCCTCTGTACAGCGCTCAGAGTCAGGGCAAATCTGAGGCAGGGTTCCCATAAAGCTCCAGCTGCCAGGGCTCCCTGTGGGCACTGCTTGTCACTGGCGTCTACCTGTCTCAAGGGTTTTATGCCTGTGGAGCTTTTGTGTGTATGTTTGCGCATTGTTCTTAAAGTTTATCTAGAACAACACGAATACTATTCTCTACCTTTTTCATGAATGTATTTTGGATATTTTGCCATCTTAGAACAGATCATCTGTTTAAAAAAAAAAAAAAAAACTGGTAACTCCCATGTCATAAAATCCAGTGGTTTAAAAGTATTTAATCTGCTTGTTTTGGCGTGCTCAAAAGTTGTTTGCACTTATCATCATGTTCTAATTCCAGATCATTTAAAAGCCTTCATTTTCACTTTCAGCTCGCTCTTACTCAGAGTGAGTCATTTGTGAAACAGTACCTTTTTGTTGGTGATGGGTGTGCTGTATGGGATTGTTGAAGGATTAACAGCATATCGGAAGGCACCTTTTACCTATTAAAATATGCACCATAGAAATTAGTAACAAGCATGGCTGAGCTGACAGTTGCTGGCAGCTGTCTTTTAGAAGTGCTGTTTGTGCAAAGTTGTGCTGCCTGTGTCAGCTTGTGTGCAGTCTTTTGTGATAGCAGGTACATCTGCACAACCCTTCCTTCATAAAGGTTGACAGTTAGAAGGCACTACAAGGAACCCTCTGATGGAGCAAGTCCTTTGGTGAGAGGAATAACGTACTTTTATGCAAAAAGGGTAGATTTGGAATATGCATGACTTCAGTATCACTTCCTGATGGATAGCTTTGGTTCAGGGATAGTCTGCAGCTTCTTCATATGCAAAAGGAAGGTAATGTGACTGTACGTAGAGGCTGGCATGGTGTCTACACATCATAGATGCTCAAAAGATGTATTTGTTACTATAAATTGCTTTCTTTCAGTTCTGTCTTGATGAGATTTCAGGGATCAGAAAGCGTAAAATACTTAAATTTTCTAAATTCTAGCCACTTAAGGTAATAGCTTTAGTTTCTATACAAAGGACAAAAATTTTAAGTACTTTGCTAAGTAATCTTATATGTGAATTAGGACACTATTTATAAAACAGCACATACTGAAGAACCTGAGTGCTTAATAATTGTTTTTAGGAAGTTGTTCTTGGACTGGTGGTGCAGCACAGTGGTGAGCACTTTCCTGGCATGTGCACAGCCCTGGGTTTGATCCCCAGCACTGCAAAAGTAAACAAACAATAAAAACTTCCAATAGATAAATGAAACAAAGATCTTGTTTTCAGTATTTCCCATCATTGCTGGCATTTCTAGCTTCTTCTTAGATTGGCAGCATTGCATTAGTACTGCAGGGTAGGAGCAGTACGTTAAGTGACAGCTGTACCGTCCTCTGCTGTCATCTGAAATCCCTGTGCACATGAGTGGCAGCACTCCATCAAATCCAATGAGACTGTTCTCTTTTAAGACAGGGAACATTTGTAGTCTTCTTCTTTCCTTCCTCCCTTGCCTGGATATGCTTAGCACAGACTTACAGTCCATTAATATTTAATGAATCAGTAGATCTGTTAACATTATATTTGGTGCAGAAATGAACACAGAACCCTGCACTAGAATGTCTCCTTCCCCAAGCTATTCCAACAGCTTAAGAAATGGAGAGGGTGAGTAGGATGGCTACTGTCCTGGTGTTAATAATTTGTCTTATGTCTTATTTCCTGTGTAGGGAATTCCAAATGAAAGCTGGAGAATAACAAGGATAAATGAACGATATGAACTTTGTGACACATACCCTGCCCTCTTGGTTGTGCCAGCAAATATTCCCGATGAAGAACTAAAGAGAGTAGCATCCTTCAGGTCACGGGGCCGCATCCCAGTAAGTGGGCCACCGTGAGGAGACTTTGCAAGTGCTCTTGTGCTTGACCTAAGGCTGGAGGCAAGGGGCCGCAGAGGGGCACAGCCTGTCTTCGTGGGGACGTTGGAGATTGAGTTACAGGATAAGTAAAGCCTTAATTGTAAGATTTTTAAACTGTAAGAGTTAAAACAGAATTGTTGGTTCTTAACGTGAGGACATTTGCCCTGTATGGTATTCATGGTTTGTGAACCTCAGGCATTATGCAGTCGTGGGATGCATGTTCTGTTCATTAAGGCCAAACAAGAGGAAATCTTTACAAATTCATGAAGAAGGGCTGGATCTAGAAAGATGAGCTCAAACGCATTTAGATACAGAATTCACAGACTCTGGAGCGTGTAGAGCTGGGCAGCTTTGCTGACGCAGTGATACACTTTAGCAGTGAGGCTGACCTAGCCCTCTTTTGATGTATTTTTTCTAAGATAGCAGTAATCAACGACTTTCACAAATCAGTATCTGATTAAGAATTAGACTAAGTTTTCCACTTGACAGAGATGGCTTGAAAGAAAGGTGATGATTTTTCTGAAAGCCTGAGGTATCCTTTTTTGGCCAGCTTTGGATCTATGAGAAAGCAGAGCTTGAGAGTAGAGTGTTTTGGAGAAGAATTACAAACAGAGACACATGTACAGGGTGTCACCGTGTCCTCTCATTAAGGTGCTGTCATGGATTCATCCTGAAAGCCAAGCCACCATCACCCGATGTAGCCAGCCCATGGTGGGGGTGAGTGGAAAGCGGAGCAAAGAGGACGAGAAGTACCTTCAGGCTATCATGGACTCCAATGCACAGTCTCACAAGATCTTCATATTTGATGCCCGGCCGAGCGTGAATGCTGTTGCCAATAAGGTGAGCTGTAGTTCATAAGGTGAGCTGTAGTTAATAAGGTGAGCTGTTGTTCCTAAGGTGAGCTGTTGTTCAGTTGATGGGGCACCACGGAGGTGAAGGTAAAGTTCTCTCAGCTCATCTCCTTGGGATGTGATTTTGAGTTAGGCACTTAATCTTTTTAAGACTGCAGGGTACAGAAATTAGAATTAGTTGATATGGATACGCAAGAAGATGAAGATATTTTAAAACACCTCAAGCCTGGTAACTAATGAGAAATACCGTTAAACCGTGGTTGTGCTTCCAGACCTGTGTGTCTGCATGGAAATACACATATTTGAAACAAAACGGGTAAGTTTAATTTCCTTTTTAAACAAATGCACTCTTTCTATCTATCCCAGGGCAAACTGTTCTGTAATGCGTTCCAAGTGTGATGGCTGGGTTCTGTTGTTGGACGGTTAGGTTATTTCTGAAGATTCACTCAAGCTGTACAGGGTGTTCCCGCGCAGCGCTTTCAGGCACTGTGGTGGCAGACGTTCCCCACTGAACTGTAGGTTCACCTTTCAAAGCAGGCGAGGCAGGAGCATCACCGTGGCCTAGTGTTTCAGCTGCAGGGCATCAGTAAGGAGTGAGCGGGCGCTCGCTTTCCCAGTAACTGCTTGTCCCTCCCTGTGCCTTGTGTTCTGGATTGGCAGGAATGAGACAGGATTTTTTCTAGGATGAGAGGAATGGGAGGGGGGAGTATAAGGCAGGAAAGATGGTAGGGTGAAATGTTAGATTCCTCGTCGTATTTTTTTTTATCATTCTCATATGTACTTTGCTATGGAAATCACTTCTTTAATTTAGAAAGTATATTTCCCTTTTGCTTCAAATTTTTACCTTCATAGTAGCAGCATTTTATGGCTTCATAACTTATCACATAATGACATATCATATCTTGATATGATAACCCATATCAAGAATTAAAATGTTGCTGGACAAGTCCACATGCCTCATTCCACTCAGTTTCACCTTCTGTCCAACAAAAGTAACCTCTTCTTTCACAGTAACCTTTCTTCTTTCATGGTTTCCTTAGTGTTGCTAACTTTTGAAAACTGCTGAGTGTGTCTTCCAGGTTCCCTTGGCCCACCTCTAACTTCTCCGTAAATTTTATGTGTAGAGCACTTGCAGCCAGGATTTTGCTGACTGTATCGTGTGGCCTTGATTTCTCTTCTCCCTGAATTTCTGTCAGGTGAATCCGGAGGTGTGCTCACATACTTACTCAGTGCTTTTAGCAAGGCTGTGGGTGTACATACGTCCTGGGGCACATGGAGATGAGTGTGTGCGCCTGCATAGTTAACCCACTGGGGCTGCCCAATGGCGATTCTCTCATTTCATTATGTTTTTGCTGCTAATTGAATTCTCCTATAAAGACATGCTTTCTCTGGTCTGTATTTTGGATAATGGGCAGTTAAATTCATACAGAAAAGGACAGGAAAAATGTTTGAAGATTCTTATTTACCACTTTCCCCAGTAATGAATTTACTCCTGTCTTCTCCTACCATAGTGATAGTTTTAAAAGTTTTAGTATTATTTTGAAGTAAATACTATTTTCTTGAAGTAAATTTCCTCCTCTTTGGCCATAGTAGTGGCCATGGTTTGGATAAGTGTCCCCCGAGGGCCCACTTGTTCAAGATTTTGTCCCCAGCCTGTGACTGAGGAAGGGTTAAGTGGGAGTTCTCCAGGTTCACTGTGGATGGCCAGGTCCTTAAAGAACCTGGGCCCTTCCTCTTCCACCCTTAGTTCTCTGGCCTGGAGGTGAATGCTTTTGCTCCCCAGGGTGCTGCTGCTACCACGTCACCTCCTCACAGGCTGCAGTGGGGCTGTGAGCTGACAATTCCAAAACTGTGAGCCAAAGTAAGCCTTTTCTTTTTGTAAGTTGGTCATCTCAGGTAGGTGTTGCACAGTAATCTTGACTGTCAGCTATGTCAGGATGTACCAAACCCATCAGGAGATTTGGTACATTTCCTGCCCAGACTGCAGTAGGCATTTCTCCAGCAAGTTCTGGTTTCTGTGAGTGGCAGCTGGCACTAAAATTGTAACGTGAGGCTAAGGACGTGCCTTGCTGCTGGTGTGGTTCCTTTGTCCCTCTTGACAGCATCCATGTGTTCTCATAGGTGGACGTGCCTTCAGAGAGGTTTTACCTCACTTGCACATCACATCTGAACTCCCTAGTTCCACACCAAGCGTCCTGTCCTGAGGACACGGGCGGTGGTACCCATTTGCTCTGTCAGTCTCAGAATCACTGTCCCCACTTCATCGCTAGAGTGATCACCAGAAAGCTAGAAAGGTTTCTGCATCTGATCTCACGTTCTCCACCATTGTAAGATGCTTTGTATTGGGTCTGCATCCTCAGAGAGCACAGCCTTCACTAAATACTCCTTTATAAATACACATCCCCTCCACCTCATTTCTGTAAGGTTAGTTCTACATCCATAAATTCAACCAACTGCACGCTGAAAATGCTTCTTAGAAATTGCATCTGTACCAAATGAGTACATACTTTTCATTATTCCCCAAAGAAATACACACAGGACTTCGATTGTGTTAGGCATTACAAGCAATTGAGAGATGATTAAAGCATACAGGAGGGTGAGCACAGGCTCTGGCAAAATCACATCCTTTATGTTAGGCTTTAGGTGTCCATGGGGTCCTGGGACTGACCCCAAAGGTATATGGAGGGAGGAGTGTAGTCTGTGCTTGTGCCCAGTGTGACTAGTTCTTACATTGATGTCTGTCTGGCCCTTCCCCCTTTGTGTGGAGATGTTAGCAAGGGAGCATGGGAACAAGGTTCTCTGAGTATGTGCATGCTGATAACAGCTTGTATCCTCTATATTGGAAAGGCATTTTTGCTGGGTAGAAAGTCTTTGGCTCACATTTGATTTTTGTTAGTATCTTAAATATATTACTTGATTTGCTTTCAAAAAGTTTTTTGTTTTATTTTGGAGGGTAGAACTCACGGCCTCATGCTCATGCTATACCACTAAAGCTAGGCCTCTCTTCCCCCCTTATCCTCCTCCCCTTCCCCCCTCCGCCCTCCCCTTTTTTTTTTTTTTGCTTTTAGTTATTTTTCAGACAGGGCCTTGCATGTTTTTCCCAGCTAGGCCTGAACACAATCCTCCTACATATGCGACCTGTGTATCTGGGATGACAGGTGTGCACCACCACATCCAGCTCATTGGTTGAGTGAGTTGTCACTAACTTTTTGCCCAGACTGGCCCCGAACTGCAATCCTACTTTCTGCCTTTGGAGTAGCTAGGATTACAGGTGTACGCCACCATGCCTGGCTAAGCTTAAGTATTTTTTCTTTCTAAGTCATTGATTCTTTTTTGCCTTGAATATCCAAAGAATCTTCTTTTTTCAATAGTTTTTGGTTTAGGGGTTTTTGTTAATTTTTCAAGGTGTCTTTGTGTTGTGTTCTGGATTTATGTTCTAACTATGCTTCTGGTGTTTCAGTGTGTGACTTTTGGTATTTTTAGTATTTGTTCTTCCTTGGCTTAGCTCTCTCCTTCAGGGATTCTTGTTATTTAGGTGTTGGTGTTTGCCTCTCTTCATTGTCACTTTCTCCTGAATCCTTTTTATGTCTTTCATCTGTTTTAGTTTTTAAGACTTCTTTTCACCAACTTTTTAAGTTGCTATTGGGTTTCTTTTAGTTTTTATTTCCAAAGTGAGTTATTTCTTATATTTATAATATTTCCAAATTCTATAATTTCAGTTGTTTTTTTTTTTTAATTTTATGTTTTCATGCATGCCATCATTTTTTTTTTTTGGTGTGGTGCTAGAGTTTGAACTCAGGGCCTACATCTTGAGCCACTACACCAGCCCTTTTTTTGTGAAGGGTTTTTTCAAGATAGGGTCTTGCAAACTATTTCCCCGGGCTGGCTTTGAACTTCAATCCTCCTGATCTCTGCCTTCTGAGTAGTTAGGATTACAGGCGTGAGCCACTGGCACCCGGCTCATTTTTTTAAATGTGCTTACCTTGCTTGAGGGGCATTGTCTGCAGGATGTTCTGAATATGCTATTTTAGGGTAGCTTGTACGGGATTTGAATTACATTCTGGTGGAATTAGTTCTCCTGAAGCTTTTTAAGGACACATCATTTACTTGAAGCATTGTGGGAAGGCTAGATGTGTCGGCTGGTGAGCCTGCTTTTCATTTCCCATTAGGGGATAGGAGGCCTGCTTTCCGTGATCTAGGCTCCATCTTGTCTCTGTGCCCCACTCCCACCCACCATTCCCAGCCTCCCCCTCCACCCCACTCCATTCCCACCCTCACCCTGGCTCCCTTATATTTCATAAAATAAAAATATTAGGCCCAGAAAAACTAGGTTCTCCTTTCCGGCTGTAGCTTATTTTGAAAAATACCAAATATTTTCTCAGTTTTTAGATGCAGACTTAAATCTTTGAAGATAGTGGTGCCAAACAGCATCCTTTGCTTATATTCTTTAAAATGAGTATGTGTTTAACATATGAGCAAGTTGTGATGCTTAATCTTGATTTATCACCTTGGTTGGAGCGGGAGTGCCTAGGACAGTAGTAAAGCACAGCTGGTGTCTGTGTGGGGTTAGGTCAGGTTGGTAGGTTCTGACCCAGTGGGTGCACTGATGGACTCAGAATGTGACAGACTGCTGGGAGGTGTTGGGGCTGTGGAAGGAGGCTGGTTGGAAGAAGTGGATCATGGGACATGTCTTTGAAGGCTACTCTGTTCCTCTTCTCTGCTCCCTGGCTGCCAGGAGATGCAGTTCTCATGTTTCATGTATTTCCTCACCACAGGCCAGACACTGAGACCAGGAGCCTAAGTAACCCCTCCCTAAGTTGTTTCTTCAGGGATTTTGTCACAGCAGTAGAACTCTGATACAGAAGTTGTTAAAATGGTAAAGAATTTATTTTGCAAGTATTGAGTCAAATAGGGTGGACAGGCAGGAGGTAAGCCAGACTTGGGATCCTTGAGGTGGAACTGAGTCTGGGGGTTCCCGTCAGCATGAAGGGAAGTGTGCTGGAGTCAGGATGGAGGGATTTGAAATGTTTCATGTTTCTCATGTAACATTTCTAACAGCCCATGAAGATGAGCATGTATTCTGTTCATAGTGAACACAGGGTGGAGTGTGCTTGTGCTAAGTTGCCTGAGCCGTCTGCATTTCCCCATGGAAGCGCCCCAGGCACTAGTAACATGCATCTCCTTTCAGGTGTTTTGATAGTTGATGGAGCTTTGTAATGGGTTTACAAAGAATGGGCATACATTCACTTATGACGTCCTGTGATTGTGCCTTTTTCCAGGCAAAGGGTGGAGGTTATGAAAGCGAAGATGCCTATCAAAATGCAGAGCTAGTTTTTCTGGATATCCACAATATTCATGTTATGAGAGAGTCCTTACGGAAACTTAAGGAGATTGTGTATCCCAATATTGAGGAAACTCACTGGTTGTCTAACTTGGAGTCTACTCACTGGCTAGAACATATCAAGGTATGTGTAACGTGTCTCAGATGAGCAGTTTTGTCTGCTTTAGCCATCACAGCTGGAGTCCATTGAAGGTGCCTTTCCAACAGTGGATGTGCATTTGCTTCTGTTGTATCTGCCATCCTATCTGAATCCTCCCTATCCCTCAGATCCCAGTTCATGTTTCATTTCTTCCAGTTTCCCAGATTAGATCCATTTTTCTGAACTCTTTTTCTTTTGCGTAATCGGTATGTCAAACACAAGAAGACCCAGACTGCTGTAGGGAAGCACTACCTGTGCAAGCAGGTACCCAGTAAGCATTCACTGGAAGGTTTGTGAAGTTAAAGCCCTAAGCCTTGACCTGGAACCCAGCGAACAGGCTGAGTGTTTGTGGAGCATTGCCATGTCAGTTCCACAGCTCTCCAAGACGCTTGCTGTGGCTGTGACAGAAACAAGTTTCCTCGAGGTCTGAGACAGTGTGGCTGCCTCAAAGACCAGCCTCTCAGAGGCCTCTTCCCACCACTCCACGCAAAGTAACAGCTCTGCTAGCTCTCCCTGTGCTGCTGGGGCTTTTCACTCACGGGCATCTGATGTGCTGTTTCCTTGCTCACTTGTGTCCGCATGGGCCCCCGGTGTAAGCCTCACTGACCGGGTAGTGTGTTGTTCACTGCTCTTGCCTCCAGCACCTGCAGCCTTGCCTGCTGTACAGTAAAGGAAGGGACTCCATAAATCTGACTTTATGAACAAATGGACAGATAACTCTTCCCAGCCAGACTTAACTAACTTTGGACTACTGATTACTAAATCAGTAAGCACCTACATTATAGGTGAGACTTGTGTAAAATTGAGTCAGAAGCACCGTTTTTAGCTGCTCACAAGTGACTCTGAAGTGTAGTTAAGACCGAGATTGCATCAGTCATTTCCAGCTCAGTCAGTGCACTTCCTTTCATTCTCCTCCCTGTGATGTGCTCTGTGTGTGATGTCATCCACGTGTAATGGCGTCCTCTCTCCATGTGGACGGGATACAGTCGCTGCAGAGAACGATGAGGTGCTACTGCACATTTTAAAAGGGAATTTTACTTTTTTCTTCCCTTTTTGGTTGTTTAGTTTTCACTCAAGACTTTTCAGAAAAGGTTTTTGCAAAAGATTTCTGCATATTTACCAGAGGGCTGAAATTATTCTAGGTGGCAGGTAAACTGACACATGAATCTGATGGTAATTTTTGTGCTTAGGGAAGAGTGTCACTGTGAGGCACATGCGGCCACTGCAACCTGACATAGAAACTTTATAGTCAGAATAACATGTGCTACAGAATACTTTGAGATCCAGTATCATTTTTTTCAGGCACTTCTGATTTGGTTAAGAAAGCATTGCTGTAATAGAAACTTTAGGCCTCAGCTGGCATGTCAGTCATTTTTATTACATATGGTGATTCTTACAAGCAGGTAGAACTTAATTACTCCAAGAAAAGTCTTACGCCCTTGCTTTGTTTAGCTCTCAGAGCTACCTTCCCGTTGGATGTTTGCTGTGTAAACAAATGAGCGTGCCAAAGTCCTTGCAGAGCCCTAGGGCATGCCTGCTGGAAGCCTCACTCAGCTCTGTTCTGCAGCTCATCCTGGCTGGGGCGCTGAGGATCGCTGACAAGGTGGAGTCGGGGAAGACTTCTGTGGTGGTGCACTGCAGTGACGGCTGGGACCGCACAGCCCAGCTGACTGCCCTGGCCATGCTCATGCTGGATGGCTACTATCGAACCATCCGAGGCTTTGAAGTCCTCGTAGAGAAGGAGTGGCTGAGCTTTGGCCATCGATTCCAGCTGGTGAGTACAGAGCCTTCACATTCAAGATGCATGAAAATCAGGACTGAGCACCAAGCATTTATCTAGAGGGATAAATTCAAGAGAATTTTCTGGAGCCAGGGCTCTTTGTCCTGGAAACATCAGGTTCATTTAATGTGATGAGTGTTTCTCCCTCCAGTGACAGTTCGGAATAGTAGCTGTGGGTAGTAGTGCTGTAATCCCAGCACTCAGAAGGCCGAGGCAGGAGGACTGTGAGTTCTCGGTTAGCGTGGACTACACAGGAAGACCCTGTCTCAAAAAAGCCAAAGAACAGCTGTACAAATGGTTATGGAATCACAAAGCACCTAATTATTATTTTTAATTTAAAGTGGCTATATAAAGTAGCATTGCTTACATAGGATAAGGGTCAAAAAAATCAGGTTGGGATTAAAATTACGGAGTAAAGATATACGTTAAACTCAGTTTTCTGTTACGCTTCTTAAAACACTAAAACAAGGATGACCATAAGTACCGAGAGCACTGCAGATAGTCTGTGGAAATGAGATTTTAAGCCCCTTTTCTTGTTCAAGATTTATTTTGATGTAAACAAATTTCAGTTTACACGTTCACTGTTATTTGAACTATTTACCGTTGAGTGCAAAGTATGTAGCAGAAGAGCAAAGGTGATGAAAGACTTTAGTTTCTTTTCTGACACATCAGCATCAAGCAGTGCCTTTCCTGAAGCTGTTCACTTTCACCTGGAAAGTGCCAGGGCCCTGTGTCTCAGTGTCCTGTGTTCCCCTCAGAGGCAAGAACACATTCCCTTCCCCTTCAGATGCTGGCAGAGAGCTGTCTGTTCTGTCACCACCGTCTTCATTTGCATTCTGCCCTTACCATCCCAGCCAGGTGTCCTCTCCCAAGTGTGGTACCCAGAGCCAACCACAGCCTCTTAAGTAGAGGACAGGGGTTAGTACGTCTCTTTTTAAAAGAGACTACGTTTGCCCGTGCTCCTTTTAATACCATACTTGAGATTCCTGGATCTTTAAATGTCCAGGTGGCTTTCAGCAGTTAAACCTGTATTTCCAGTCAGAAACCTCAAGCAGTAACCTTGTGTTGTCCATGCATGTTAGCTGTGACCACAGGATTCAGCATGCAGAGGCTTACTGCCAGGCAAGAGCAACAGGGCAATCAAGTGTTGTGGCTGAAACAGAGGGAAGATTTACAGAATTGCTTGAAGGTGCCATGCGCCAAGACCGTGGGTTCTGGGGAGATGTTTTCCTCCACGTGTTTCTGAAAGGTCCACCTTTCTGTGCCCGTGCGTTAGCAGGGTGTACTGGCAGTGTTTACAAATAACTTAGACAGAACAGTTTGATATAGTTGTTTGAACTATTAAATAAAGTAGGGTAGCTAAGCCGTCTCCTCAGATAGCTCACATTTTTCAGTTCTCTATACAGTAAGCAAACACTTCAGTCATGAGTTCAATTGAAATTGCTGTGAATTCCTAAATTGCTGGTTCTGGCTGTCTTCCACATTTTTTTCTAATTATAGTATGAAAAGTTTTTTTTTTTTTTTTTTTTATAAATTTTGACAGTTAAAGGACATCCATTTGAGAAGATATGTTCACATAATGTAGGTGTAACAATTCTCAAACTTTTTGGTTTCAGACCTTGTTAACAATTATCAGTGATTCCAAGAATTTTATATTTCTATTCAGAAAATAGTGGCTTATGATGTCATGCAGCTCTTCCAAGTTTAACATGTCGCAGTTCAGTGTCATAAGTCATATTTGTTAATACCAACACTGATTTTACCAAGAAAGTGCTCAGTAAAAATCTAGATTTTTTTTAATGATGAGCAACAGATACTGTCAGTTGTTTCGAGTCTTACTAACCATAGTTTACATTCCAATCATTCTGTGAAGAAAAGTGGCCCCAGGAACCATGTGCTCCCTGCTACCTTTGTCAGCATGCAGCAGCACAGGGACGGATAATGGAGGTGACATTTGGGCACTTGTCCCATCTTTTCACACAGGTTGAGAAAACTGTGTGCCCATAGGGTGAAATTTAGTGAAATTAGTATTTCCTGCTTTGTCAAAGACACTTGTCTAAGAAAAACTGAGGTTCTCCCTCTTTCACTATGAGTGTTGGCAGGGTATAATACAGTGATAGCCATGTAGTTAGGTCCCACACGGGAGAAGACAAAATAAACAATGATGTATTAGTATTACTATGAAAAGTCTGTGGGCCACACTTTGAGGATGAAGCTGTGCTTTAGGCTAAGGAGTCTGGCTTAATTTGAATCATCTGGGTCCATGGTCCTTAGAGGAGGACAGAACCCAGAAGCTTGAAGGTTTTCCAAGGTGGTGCTGACGTGGTTTGTCCTGATGAATGGAGGTGCTCTTCACTCCCTGGCCAAGACATTAAAGGTGCTCTCTGAAGCCACTGTGTAAGGATCTTGTATCTCAGAGGGCAGTCTCCAGGACAGAAGTCTGGGCTCTCAGGTCTGCTGTGCTTTTCCATTATTAACCTTCCAGGATCTTCGTTTCATTTATTAAACAAAGTGCTAACTCATATTGCAGGCATTTCATGTCAAAAAACAAACAGACAAAAAACCCTGGGAGTTTACATATTAAAATGTTAAATAGGTTTTTGCTTGGTAGAATTATGGTGATTTCTTCTCCCTTTAATGCTTAAAAATTTTTTTTCTTGAAAAAAATTAAAAATACTGACTAGATCCTACTTTTATTAGAAGGTAAGATTATTTAGATGAAGTGACAAATCCTACATACACTATTTATCTTTTTACAGAGAGTTGGCCATGGGGACAAGAACCACGCAGATGCAGACAGATCACCTGTTTTCCTCCAGTTCATCGACTGTGTCTGGCAGATGACAAGACAGGTAACTCATCTGGAGTCCGTTCTTCCACATCTGCTTTCAGCTCCGAGCCAGAGTAGGGAGACCCGGTCACTGAAAACCTAGGATTCTGATAAGGTTCAAAGTCAGTGTTATCATCACGGTGTAACTTGGTAACAGTTAAGTGTTTTACAGTGTGATTCCATTGAATTTCATCTTGAGGTATCGGTACTTGCAAGAAGTCTCCTTCCTTTGAACAAATAGTGGTAACTTGGTAACTGCTCACTTAGGCTCATCTCTAGTACTACAGAAGTGAAGAAACACACAGTCCAGCTAAATACCATGTGTTTGGAGAAATCACAGCAACGCAGGGAACAGACTTAGTGCTTTTTCAGACATGGAAAGAATACGTTTTCCAAACCTTCTGAAGGCCTTTTAACAAATAGATTTATCTGAAATATTACTACAAATGGGACAAATGGTTTAGAAAGATATCATCAGCAAAATACTCGCGAAAATGGTTTATTATAGAAGGTCCAAGGTCAGTCTTAAAAATATGACTTCTTCTAACTCAAGAGAACCATTCGATAACCCAGAGATGAGGGCAGCTATGCTAACTGCACATTCCCAGGGCTTATCAGGCCTTAAGCTAAGAGTCTGAATTGTATTTAGCTAGATTGTCACATGAATGTGTATGAGGGCAGTTAGTGGCTCTGCTTGACTTTGGAATCACACTTCTTTAAAAGATGATGCTGTTTCATTCAAAGGAAATGGTAAGCCTTAGGTAAAATCACTTACATTTTATCAGAGTTCCCGCTGCCCCGCTACAGCATTTCAACTTGGATTATTTTGAAACCTGCTGGGTAAATGAAGTGTTGTCATAGGTGTGACTAAAGTTTGTTGTGCCTGGGGTTTTAACACATTTAGTGAAAATATGAATTCCGTTTTTATAACTGATGGCCTTTGGGGAGGATTTCCCTTGAGGTGGTAGCCAGTAGCTAAACGACTCCTACCTACCCTTTTTGGGTACTGGACCCACTGTTGACCACTACCCCACCTGACTCCTGGCCAAGGTCAAAGAGTAACTGAAGGGTAGGAAAGCTCCTTAAGCTCCTGGAGCCACTGATGCGTCTGACTGTTAGCACTGCTGTGTCCATGAACCAAGCAAAGAAGAGTACGTAAACACTTCTTCCTTGGTAAGTTTGGCAGCCCCATGCTGTATCTCTAAGAGGAGTTTAACCCTGGTTTTGAAACTATTATTAAACAGTACAAAGTCAATTTGAATCTGTCTCTTAGAAATTAAAAGTGCTTTACACTGGTCTTTATTTTAGCTGTTTCTCTATGTGAACACAAAGTGCCAGCCAGCCATGCTTGTTAGCTATCACAGTGCTTATGGAAGAGTACACTACACTGGAGGGACTAAATGCCACATCTGTCAGATCATTCTGAAGTAATTAACCAAACACAGTGCATGCCTTTCCTCACCCCTTCCATTAGAGGTCATTGTGAGGAAGTGGTCCCGCCTGAGCTGTCTTCTCACAGCTGAAACTGCTGTCACGAGCAGGGTGCGTTTGTGGATGGGTGGTGTGTAACACACAGGAGATGGGATCTGAGCGCATTGCTCACAGCCAGTTTGCTGTCCGTAATTGACACACGCTCGGGTCACTGCTTCACTTGGCTAGAGAGGTCTGCCGTGTCACTGTTGCCCTGCCCTAGACCGTCCTAAAGTCTGGGAAGCTTCACAGCCAAGCTGCGTTCATCCTTACTCTTGCTTACTCAATTGAGCCATTTCCTTCTATGCCAAGACTTTGCATAAGAAATAAAAACCTGAAACCCTCTCCCTAGCCATCAGTCCAGACATCCAGGGATCTCTTCTTCACAACTCTGGAAGTGGCAGTCTTACATAGAAGCTTCTGATCTATTTTGAAATACTGATAGGATAGGTCAATCTAAACCTTTTACCTTTCGGAGGCCTGTAATTCTTCCGTTGATTATTCCCACCAGATTATTTTGTGTTATACACTCTCAAAGTTGTGAGGGACTGACAGGATGTTCCAGGGACACATTAAGTAGGTTGACTTGCAGATTATCTGCACATCTCATCCTGATATTTAAAGAATATCATTGCTGTGAGGTTAACGTGTAACAGAGGGTCCAGAAACCACAACAGCCACTGAAACCCTTGCTGCACAGGAAAAGATGATAAAGGATTTCTGGACAGAAAACCCAGCAGATAATACTACACACGGCTTGATAGTAGTTTTGACAGTTACTAGATTTAAAGGCTGTTAGATGGGATCTGCTCACGACACGGAGGCACGTGCTGGGAGACACGCCTTAACTTTGTGTTCTGGGTTCAATTACAGTTTCCTACCGCATTTGAGTTCAACGAGTATTTTCTGATTACCATTCTGGACCACTTGTACAGCTGTTTGTTTGGTACATTCCTCTGCAACAGTGAACAACAGAGAGGAAAAGAGGTGAAGTATGACACTTTCCTGGTTCTCCCCACAAGGAGGCACTCGGGTATATTTAAACCAGGCAGTTGGTCTTCTAAGCTGTATGTGGATCACTTCCTGCATGCATGCAGTCACAAGGATGAAGGTGCCTGTCAGTCATCAGCCAAATTCTGCCAAAGACAAGTGAAGTATCTGGGATCCTAGAGTGCAGTATTCCCACTGTTCCATGTACGAAAGGGGGATGGAAATCCTTCAAAGCAGGTTCAGAAAAGTGTAAGTAGCAGAAAGCTACAATTGGATGGATATGGGTAGCTCAAATCCCAAAACGTATTCTGCACACAAAAAAGGCATTTTAGATGAACACTATAAAAGACCAAACACTGAGAAGACACCACACAGAAAAACTTTCCAGAGCCAAGCCACACCTATAACCGCAGCCACCTGGAAGGCTGAGGCAGGAGGATTGAAAGCTAGAGGCCAGCTCGGGCAACTTAGCAAGACCCTATTTCAAAAACTTAAAAAGTGGTGCAGGGGGACCCTTGATGTACATAGTACTACAAAAAAATATACCAACCAACCAGTGGTAAGGGCTCCCTGTGAGTTCCTTGACGGCAGATAGAATAATTTTTCTTCCTATTTGTGCTTTCCCACAAAGCCAGTGGTTGAGATGGGGTCTTGAGAACTTTTTGCCTGGGCTGGCCTCCCAAGTAGCCTGAGATGACAAGATTGAGCCACTGCACCCAGCCAAAGAAGAAAGAATGTTTTAATCGTACAAGTTGTATAAAGTGTGTATACTTCTTAGTTTATTTCAAGTTCTCCTGCTGTTGCCATTTAATATAGAAATTTTCATCACCCCATTCTCTCCTAGTTTGTACGGTTTTGCCTATACGTTCATGTAAATGGAATTACGGTAGCCTTCACTCTGAGTTTCGATTAGTATGTTTCGTGGTTCATCTGTGTTGTAGCATGTGCAATTTCTGTTTATGGCTTTGTAACAAATTCCATTGTGTTAGAGATTTGTTGGTGAGATTTTGGGTTGGTTCCATTTTTCCAGGTCACAGGTAACTGGGACAACACACTGTTTTCCCAGTGCCCTTTAATTCTAATACATGTGGTCTCTTCTAGAGTGTTCCTCCTTTGTGAATTTTTATGACAACAAATAGCCCTGCAAATTGAATCTTCATCTACTTTTCCTTCTTACAGAATCTTCCTAAAAGGACTGTTTCACTGTGGTCTTACATCAACAGCCAGCTGGAAGACTTCACTAATCCTCTCTATGGGAGCTACTCCAATCATGTCCTTTATCCAGTAGCCAGCATGCGCCACCTAGAGCTGTGGGTGGGCTATTACATCAGGTGGAATCCAAGGATGAAACCGCAGGTAGAGTACAAGAGGGGAGTTTTCCTCTGTGCACTGCAACTTGAAACTTCCCACTCTGCCCATTCAGTTGTAACAGGTTATAATCCTGACTCACTTGAATGACTTTAGACATTTGTTTGGTTAACTTCTGGGGACTAGCTAGTGCAAAAGCAGTGGTGACAGCAGGACCTGAATTTAACTTCTGATGGGTTCCAGCTGCTGAAAGCACATGCATGGCACCATCAAGGGAACAATACAAGGGGTCGCCTGGTGGAGTAATTGTATATATGCTTTGCTCTCATAGGAACCCATTCATAACAGATACAAAGAACTTCTTGCTAAACGAGCAGAACTTCAGAAAAAAGTAGAGGAACTGCAGAGAGAGATTTCCAACCGATCAACCTCCTCCTCAGAAAGAGCCAGCTCTCCTGCTCATTGCGTCACTCCTGTCCAGACTGTCGTGTGAAAGGATGATGAGGGTGGGGGCAGCACTGCTGCCAAGTCTTCATTACAGTGGCAGCTTTGAGTATTCTGATCTCATCCATGGAAAAGTTCAGATGAGCTGAACTGCAGCATTAAGGTGGCTTAAGGGAAATAACATGGATTCTGACACTAATCTGGTCGCCCAAGGAGCAGCAGAACATGTCACTCCTGCATCCAGTGGGAACAAAAAGTGCTGTCTTGAAAACTTTGGCATCTGGTAAGATCAAAATACAACTTGAGATGGGAGAAAGCTTACTGTACAAAGGAATGAGTTTTCAAACCAAATCCACACAAATTCTGAGGCCAAAATCATTCGGTAGCCTGGCTCCAGCTTTCCTTGCCTTGTAGTACTGATTACCTCATCACCTCCCAACTCTGTAGTAGAAGGCAGAGGCTCAAGGGTATTACAGCGCAGTAGTGAAAAGTAGCTGTTTACGTTACTTAGGCTTAAGTAGGGTGCTTCAGGTAGCAGTTTCAAAATGATGCCTTACGATGTGCTTCAGGGAGGATGAAGGGGACAAAGCGGTGGTGCCACCAGGGTTCAGATTGATTTCCATGTGCCCAGTTTTAGGCAGCATCATGGAAGACATTTTGCCTTTTTGCCCCAGCTTTACCTTGATGCTAATGGGAAGATTTAAGGCAATATTTAAAAATCTTAAAATCAACTTTTACCTGAAGTCTGTGTAAGTAGCTCATGGTAAAAAAGCACTACGCTCAAATTGAGGTGTTTTACTACTTCTTTCTAGTGCAAACTAATCCCACTAACTGACTGAGTCTACCAAAGAACTGCACGTAAAGATGAGTTACAATCTCAGTGCTTCACTGTTCACCTGAGAGTTGGGTGCTGGTGTAAACATTGGACTCCCGATACGTATTTACTCTGTGTAAGAGCCATATGTAATGTACTGTAACAAAGGAGCTTCCTGTCCCTTGGTCTTTTAATTAAAAGAAACTTCAACTGATTTTAAACTCTGTCCAAAGCCATTTTTTTTAAAAAAGCTTTTTAGGTTTTGTAGAAAAGTGTTTGTTTTGAGCATCTCTTGAGGAGTGCTTGCTTGCTTTGAGCCTGTCTGTCCCCCACCGCCAAAGTCGCTCATTAATTCACTGGTGTTGGAACCTGAGCCTGCTGTGGGTCCAGCAGTGAGTAAACAGAGCTTCTACTAGGACATCCACTATTACAAATGATCTGGGCATAGTGTGAAATGTTCAGCTGTTTGTTTGAACTATTTCAAACATGAATTCTCACAAAAAAGGGGCTAGCACCAAGGAAATCATTAGGGACTACTTAGAAAGCCTATATTGCAATAAGCTGGAAAATCTAGAAGAAATGGATAAATTTCTAGACACATATGACCAACAAAAATTGAACCAAAAGGATATAAATCAAATAAATAGGTCCATAGCAAGCTAATGAAATTAAAGCAGCAACAAAGAGTTTCCCCAAAACCATAAATTTGGGACCTACCAGACCTTTAAAGACAAACTAACATTATCACTCCTCAAACTTATCCATGAAATAATAGAAAGAAGGGAAGGAACACTGACTGCCAAAATCGCTCCAGGAAGCCAGCATTACACTCACAGCCAAACCAAACACAACAACAAAAAAAGAAATATACCAATCTCTTCAATGAACTTAGATGCAAAAATCCTCAATAAAATACTGACAACTGAATTCAACAACATATCAAAAAGATCTTAAGCCACAGTCAGTTACATCCCAGGGATGGAGGGATGGTTCAACATATGCAACTCATTAAATGTAATACAGCACATAAACAGAAGCAAAGACAAAAACCACTTGATCATCTCAATAGATGCAGAAAAAGCCCTTGACAAAATTCAACATCCTTTCATGATAAAAGCTCTTGATGAAACTAGGAATAGAAGGAATGTACCTCAATGTAATAAAAGTTATATATGACGAGCCTATAGCCAACATCATACTACATGGGGAAAAGCCAAAACCATTTCCTCTAAAGTCAGGAATGAGACAGGGTGTCCGCTTTCTCCACTCTTAATCAACATATTCTTAGAATTCCTAGCTAGAGCAGTAAGACAGGAAGAAGAAATAAAAGGAATTCAAATAGGAAGAAGTCAAACTATCCTATTTGCAGATGATGTGATTTTTACACCTAAAAGACCTGGAAAACTCCACCCAAAACTTCTAGATATCATAAACACCTTCCGCAAAGTAGCAGGATACAAAATCAATTAATGAAAATCAATAGCCTTTCTATATACCAGCAGTGAACACACTGAGAAAGAACATAGGAAAACACTTCCATTTACAAAAGCCTCAAAAAAATACCTATGAATAAACTTAACAAAGAAAGTGAAAGACGTTTACAATGAAAACTATAAACTGAAGAAAGAAAATGAAGAAGACTGCAGAAAATGGAAAGCTCTCCCACACTCTTGGATTGGCAGTCAGTATTGTGAAAATGACTATACTATAAGAGCAACCTACATGTCCAGCACAATTCCCATCAAAATTCCAGTGACATTCATCAGAGATCGAAAAATCACCCTAAAGTTCACATGGAACACAAAAAAGCCTTGAGTAGCCAATGCGGTTGTGAGCAAAAAGAATAATATGTGGGAGTGATCATAATTCCTGCCTTCAAACTATACAACAGAGCCACAGGAATAAAGACAGCATGGTACTGGCACAAAAACAGACATAAAGACCAATGGAACAGAAGATACAGACATAAATCCATGAAGCTACAGCTATCTGATCTTTGACAAAAGTGCCCAAAATATATGATGAAGAAAAGACAACCTCTTCAACAGATACTGCTGGGAAAACTGGGTATCCGCATTCAAAAACTGAACCTAGATCCATGTCTCTTGCCCTGTTCAGATATCACTTATAATTGGATTAAAGAGCTTAATAAAAGGCCTGGAACCTTCAAAGAACTACGGAAAGTAGTAGGAAATACATTGGAACATATAGGCAAAGACAACAACGTTCTAAATAGAACTCCAAAGGCTCAACAAAGAAGAGAAAGGATGAACAAATGGGACTGCATCAAACTAAAGAGCTTCTGCACAGCAAAAGAAAGTCGCCAGACTCAAGAGACAGTGCACAGAATGGGAGAAAATCTTTGCCAGCTACTCATCTGGTAAGGGGCTAATACCCAGAATCTATAGGGAACTTGAAAAAGTTCAACCCCCAAACAATCAACATCCCGATGATGAAATGGGCACATGAATTAAACAGGGAGTTCTCAAAGGAAGAGGCACAGATGGCCAGTAAATACGTGAAGTATTGAACTTTCCTGGCCATAAAAGAAATGCAAATCAGAAGTACACTAAGCTTTCGTCTTAGTTCACTTAGAATGGCTACCATTAAAACAATACCAAATGCAGGCGAGGATGTGGCAAAATGGGCCTTATACACTGTTAGTGGGACTGCACATTAGTACAACTGTTACAGGAAGCAGTATGGAGATTCCTCAGGAAGCTGAAAATGGACCTGCCATATGGTCCAGTGACACCACTCCTGGGCATCTACTCAAAAGAAATGTAAGTCAGGATACAACGGAGACCTCTGCACATTGATGTTTACTGTAGCACTGTTCGTAATAGCCGAGATATGCAAACTACCCAGATGTCCTACAACTAATAAACGGATCAAGAAAATGTGGTGTCTTTGTGTGTAGTAGAGTTGTACTCAGCCATAAGGAAGAATGACACCATGTGGTCTGAAGGTAAACGGACAGAACTGTAGGACTGTTAAGTGAAGCAAGTCAGGTTCAGAAAGACAACGGCCACATAGTCTCTCTTGTGGAAGACACATCCAAAACAGAAACATAACACAGAAACGATCATCATCATATATGGACTTGTACATAGCACAGCGCGTAACGTGGAGCTGCTTCATGGCACTTGGGAGGAGGGAAGGAAGCGAGGACGACACGGCATCAACGACGACATGCACTACATCTACATCTGTGCAGGTAGAGGACGTAACGATACAGACTGAAAGCTGTTCGGTGATGGGGGTGGGGGATGAGGTAAGAGTAAAGGGGTTGAACTGATCCAAGTCACAGCGGGGATACACTGAGAAATTCCTGTGAACATTGACTTTGGAATTAGAAATGAATGAGAGGACTGTAAAATAGGCAGTGTGGGGGGATTCTGGGTGTGGAGAGGGTGAGTAAAGGAGATGAAGGTGGGGGAATATGGTTGGTCGACTTTGTATACATACATGAAACAGAATGAGGAAACCTCTTGCAATTGCTTTAAGTGGGGCGGGGAAGAGGTTGAGGGAGGGGAGATGGCAGGGCGATCTAACCAATGTACAAATGTAAGGCTACTGGGAATTGTCACAGCGAATGTTCCCTGTCCAAAGAATACATGCTAATAAAAATGGGAAAAAACTGCTCCCATGAGGAGGGCTAGGATATCTGCAGGGGTGAATCTGATCAGCGTACACTATATGTGTGTAGAAACACCACAAAGAAACTGTATTTTGTACAGTTAATGTACACTAATGAAGAGGGAAAATAAAGTAACTTTTTAAAAAGGGAAAAAAATCCATTTCCTCATCCTGGTTGGACACAAAAGACTGCTAAAGAGATCAAGGATTTAAAACTTTCCACTTGATGTACTCAGAGCCACTTTAAATTATACTCAGAAGTGCAAATGTGTCTCGTCCATCTCCATGGCCTCCCTCCCACCCTCGGAAGCATCCATGTGGACTGCATGTACTTGAGGACTTAGAGCACACCACGGCTTACGTGTGGAAGAGAAGGAAGCATGGGGGACCAATGCTTTTCTTTAGCTGCAAAGGACCAACACTGCAGTTTTACAAACTGCACCTAGAAATACTGGTTATACACACAGTTTCCTCTTTGTTATCAGGGACACAAAATTCAGAGACCAGTCTGACCAACCTGAAGCTCCTGCCTACCCTCTATTCTTATCTTGTGTGCGTGTGGTAGCCTTGCACTTGAGGCATACGCTCTACCACTTGAGCCATGCCTCCAGCTCTTTTTACTCTGGTTATTTTTGATAGGCTATCACATTTATACTCGGGCTGGCCTGAACCACTGTCTTCCCACCTACGCTTCCTAAGTAGCTGGAATGACAGGAGTGTGCCCCATGCCCAGTTTATTTAATGGTTGAGATGGGGTCTTGTGAACTTTTGCCCAGGCTCAAACCACAATCCTCCCAATCACTGCCTCCTGAGTAGCTAGGATTACAGGTGTGATCTGCGCTGAGCCACACATACCTCTGCTGTTCCCAGCTCTCCCATATAAACTGCACTCTTGATCCTTCTATCTTACAGACTGGAACTACATGTTTTCCCCTCATAACTAATACCAGGCCTCTAGACTTAAGGCCCCATCTCATCCTCCAAAAAGTTACTGCTATTCATCACTACCCTCTCCGCCACGCACCACAGAGTTGAGGGAACAATTCAGCCTGAACACATTCCTTTCTTAGTTCTCATCTTGGTGTCCGTGCTGGCGTGCTCACATATACAGAGCATTTATGTTTAAGTGCGTTACGATAATCTCTGCTAAGTGAGTGGATGGATGTATTCCTCTATGGTAAACTCTCAGATAAGAACACCAAAGCAGCAGTTTCAGTTTTCAGTTCTCACCTGAGAGTATCAAAAACTGGAGTGGTTACTCCAGTAACCAGATGGGGTGGGATTTAGCACTATTCATTCTCTCTCCTACTTAGGACTTGAAACCATGAAAATTCAAATGACGGTTATACAATTTAATGACCTGCAGTTCAAGCAAGGAGATGAAGAGAAGTTTAATCGTTGAAATGGTAGTTAAGACATGAATAGTTACCACGTCACCAAAGCAGTGTCTCACCTTCTTGGGTCTATGGACTCAGTGTTGTCAGTCAGTGACGCTGCAAACCTGCTCATCAGAAAATTGCACACACAAGCAAAAGTTTACATACAGTTCCAGGAGAGTCACAAATATCTCAACATCTATTTAAGGCACAAAATTAAGAACACTAACTACAGAAAACTGAGTCAGCAAGAGGCCTGACAAGTCTCGTGTGCAGGCACCCAGAGCAGCTCGTGCTGGCTGTGTGTTCCTTAGCCTGCACTCAGCGGGTTCCCGGAGAGGCAAGAGGCTCACTTAGCCCTGCTGCAGCCTTGGGCAATTCAGTTTGGTTGGGCTTAGTTTCTTTGTGAGCATGAGAACACCGAATAAGTTATTGAATACTATATATTCTCACTGCTTTTCATGATCAAGATACTAGATTCTATCTAGAAATGCATTTTTAATAGGTACTTTTTTTTTTTTCTTGGAGGTTCTGGGGTTTGAACTCAGGGCCTCATGCTTGCTAGGCAGATGTTCTACCACTTGAGCCACTCTGCCAGCCAATGCGTTTTTTGAGAGTTCACACAGAACAAAGCCTTTCTGAACAGGCTGTTATGGAAAGTTTCAGTGTTTCCTTAAAAAGGCTACTTTATTGATTTCAGTGACAAATTTATAAAAAGTGAACATGTCATGATCTATTCAAAATTGTAATTTACATTGATATGACAATTATGTGTGTATAGTTCACAGTGCACACCAAAAAAAATATTCCAGGGACTCATAAGTTTCAAGATTAAAAAGCACAACGCACCAAGTGAGTAACAATTACAACAGAAATTATCCAGAACTGTAAAATGGACATGTTTCACATCTCCCTTCTTTCACTTGATTACAAAATGTCAATTACTTAAAACTTTGTTTATAATTTAAAAAATGCTTTTATCCTTTTTACAGGTAGCTGATTTCAAATGATTGCTTGAATCTTTAAAAAATTTTTAACAGCAGATTAAAAAGCAGTACACATGCACTTAATTATGATTAATACTGGAAGAACTAAAAAAGGAAAACAAAAATGCTCTTAAATATATAAATACTTAAATACAGAAAAGCTCCATCAACAGTCCACACAGCACACTTACTGGTTGTTTGGAAAAGGGGAAGTGGTTACCTCATGGCAGGGGAAGATTTAAAAATGAGACTTTTCAAGAAAACATCCCCTGGGTGGCAGCTAATTCTGTGTGTATACATACAAAGAACTATTTTAAAAAACCACACCCACAAGTAAAAAATTGGTCATTTGTTTACAAAGTGCAGTATATCAGTACAGCAAATTCATCTCAAACAGTGACTTTTCAGACTTTAAAACTTGTTGGTTGCACTCCAATGGCACCGCAGGCTGTGCTCCATTACACCAGAAGCCTGAGTGATGAAGCCTGGGCCCCCTTACCACCTGCTATGAGTTAATTCAACACCAGCCAAGTATGAAACCTGGAAAGTAAACTGTCAGCCTCAAACTGGTAAGGAGCAGAAAATCTGAATACAATTATGACCCGGTCCCAGTCAGTAATCCCAACACAGATTACTGCTTTGTAATGAGTTCTGTATGGTCTGCATGTCCTTCAGTAACTGGAGATTTTTCCTGCTTTTTTCTCCAGGTCTCAGTTTGGCAAAATCCTTCTTACTTGTGGTCCCCGTGACTCCAGAGGAACGGCTGCTGCTGTTTCCTTCTTCTTCAAGAGTCTTTCTTGTCGGTTTTGACTCCCTCTTCTGCTGCTTATCCATCTTCTGTCCCTCCAGCTATACCAAATAACCAAGGCAGGGAAGAGCAGAACTCAATGAAAACGTTTTTTCTGACACCTGGTCTTTCTGTGTAGCCAAGGCCGGCCTCAAAACCTTAATCCTCTTGCCTTAATCGTCTGAGTACTCAGGTTATAAGCTCTGACACCAGAACTTAAAAAAAAAAATCTTATACTAAAATTCAATACATAGCAGGTATATATGTGTACACACACACACACACACACACACACACACACACGACTTCAAAAATCTATTGCACTAGTCATTTCACACTTCATTTTTAAAATATCATAAATCAAGACAATGATGCTAAACTGCAGAGTAGAAGCAAGGGAGCCTGGGAAAGGGCTATGGAGGAGGGAAAAATGAGGAGTAGGAAAAGGAAGGATGGGAAGGGTTTTAAAAGATGGAGTCCAGGAGAAAGGCAGTTAGAAACCAGCCTGAGCAGGCCAAGGAGCAAGTTCCAAATGGATGAAGAAATGTTAGTAGTTAAGTATTAATACTATGAAAAGAAATTTTAACTATTATTTGGAGGGTAGGGGCACTGGAGTTTGAACTCAGGCCTCATGCTTGCTAGGCAGGCGCTCTTACTGCTTTGAGTCAGGGATGGCCCGGAGCCAGGGATCTTCCGGCCTACGTGGCTATGGCTGGGATAAGAGGCGTACTACCTCTGCCAGCTATTGCTTGACATGGCGTCTTGAGAACTTTTTGTCAGGACTGGCTTGACTCACAATCCTCCTGATCTCAGCCTCTTAAGTAGCAAAGATTACAGGCCCCATTATTTTAGCATAATTAAATTTAAAACAGGCTTTATTTTTAGTTTAAACCACTGATGGCATGCCAACAGAATAAAGGTGAATCTAAAAACAATCAGACTATCACTCCTACAGGACCTATTTGTCTCATCTTTTTAACATGTGTTTTGGGAAGACTTTTAGAGTTGATGAAAAGAACCTAGTCTATACCGAGCTCTACCATTAGCCAGTGAGCCTGGCATGTTCTGGGACAAGTTACTGACTTCACTGACCACATATGCATGATTCACCAGGGGTGAGAAAATCAAATGAGAAGACACATTCCACCTGGTAGTGTCTCTCCTATCAGTGAACAGAGCACGTCTGTCTGGTCAGTGGCACCAGGAGCCTTTGTTATGTTCATCATCAAGCAGCCCTGACAGTTCTACTTTAAAACATACTGTAATTTGTCCATCTGTCCCCAGTTCCAATTATGGTCATGGCCAGGGAGGACCACCTGACAAGCGTGACAGCCTAACTGGCTCAACTCTCTTTTCCATGGTTTATGGAAGGAAGTGGGCACTTGATGCTGCTTTTCACACAGATACTGCCTATGGATAGCCCTCAACCCCAAGTCACCTCAGTGCTCTCACATACCCAAATCCTGGTGTCTCCATGGAAACCTGTGGGCAGGCTTCTTCACTGCACTCAGTAGGTCTAAGCAAATGGCTGAGTATAAAATACAATGACTTTTTTGTATATTTAAACCTAATAGTGCTAAGGGAAATTTATAGTTATGACTGTCTATTAAAAAAAGAGTGATCTCAAATAACCTAATAACAAGAACAAGTGAAACCCAAAATTAGCAGCAAGAAATAATAAAATATTAGGGGTCAAAATCAATGAAATTGAGACCAAAAACTATACAAATAACCAAGAAAACAAAAGTTTGGTTCTTGGAAAATATTAATTAGACCAGTAAACCCTTAACCAATCTGACTAGGAGGGAAAAGACTCAAAGTAACAAAATTAGAGATGAAAAAGGGGATATCACAACAAATAACAAAAATCACAGTATCATTAGAGAATACTTGGAAAGCTTACATTCAAGGAAACTGGAAAATCTAAAAGAAATGGACAAATTTTTAGACACATTTAACTAACAAAAATTGAAGCAAGTGCATATAAACCATCTAAATAGCAACGAGATTAAAGAAGTAATAAAGAGACTCCACCACCCCCCAAAAAAAGAGCCCAGGACCCGATGGATTCACTGCTGAATTCTACCAGACCCTCGAAGAACTATGACCAATACTCCTCACACTTTCCCAGGAATAGGAAGAGATGAAACACTACCAAATTCATCCTATGAAGCCAGCATTAAATTCATTCCCAAACACAACAAGGATGCAACAAATAAAATTATAAAAATAATCTTAAATGAACATAGATGCAAAAATTTTCAGTAAATACAGGCAATTTGAATTCAACATCATACTCAATTTGATAAATGAAAAAGAGCATATAAACAGAAGCAAGGACCAAAAATCATACAATCATCTCAACAGATGCAGGAAAAAGCTTTTGATAAGGTCAGTTTTCTCTCATATGTGGAAGACAGATCCAATAGATAAAGGTACACACAAATATAAATACGATCACATACACATTTACACATAGAACGTGTGCAATAGTGGGACTAAGTCTTACTAATAAACTGAATATATAACTTCCATAAAGAACTAGCTCTGATAAGTATGTCATACTTGATGCCACTAATTACGATTTGAAAACAAAGTGGTTTGTTTCTTTAATTAGAAAACTTGAATGTAGGAAAACTGAGTTACCTGGGCTTGGTATTTTCGAACTTTAGTTATCTGGTTGGCTTTTGCTTCCATCCTTCCCACTAAAGCCTCCAGTTCACACTCTAAGTTCTCCTTCACTTCAATGGTTGGTGACTCTTGGATAAGTTTCGCAAGCTGCTGGTGATCACTACACACAAAGCAAAAGTGGGGCGTGGTTAAGTTTCTGGTTTCACTCCTTGTGTTAAAAAGAAAAAAAGACATTTAAAAATTTTTTTTTTGGCAGTACTGGGCTTTGAACTCATGGCTTCACAGTTGCTAGGCATATGCTCCATCAGTTGAGCCACTCCCAGCCCTTCGTGCTCTGGTTATTGTAGACAGGTCCTGATTTTTCCCAGGCCAGCCTGGACTGCAATCCTCCTATATTTTGCTTCCCACTGTGGCTGGGATGACAGTCGTGCACCACCATGCCTAGCATTCGTCTGCTGAGGTGGGGGTCTTGTGAGTTTTTCTGCCTGGCTAGCCAGGAGCTCCACCCTCCAGATCTCAGCCTTATGCATACCATAGCTTGGAATGAGAGGCCTGCACCATTGCACACAGCTATATGTATTATATTTATGAACTTTTTGCCTGGGCTAGCCGCGAAACTCAGTCCTCCCATTCTTGGTCCCCCAAGAAGCTAGGATTACACTTCTGAGCCACTGGTGTATTCAGCTAAGAGTCAATCTTTTGAAGAGAGCTACAGATTTTGAAATTACCACTGACAGTCTACAAGTTCAAGAAAAGCACTGAAGGCAAATCTAAGAACTCTTAATTTCAAAGACCTAACTACATTCCTGTATCCGCCACAAGCATGTTACATAGTAAAATCATAGCCTAAAGAAGAGTACTGGTCTTCAGACACACCACCCTAATTCATCAGCTATGTTTAACTAAACATAAATGTTTAGTTTCCAAGCTCTCAAGGAAATAAAACTTAGATGTTAATCATGGTCTTCAAACAGATCTATTTGTTACAGTCTTAGTAAAGTCGCTAAAGTGGCTAGCAAAAGGATTATGCTCAATAATAGTAACCGTTGAACAAACAGAGCTAGGATTAATCAAGTCACCAGGAGGACTTAGAACAGAGAGAACTCACAAGCTCATCTGCCCAAACTCATCCTGCAGGGTGTGCAGGACATCAGAGAGCTCCTCACTGACAGTGCTGGAGGAGGGCTGCGGCCCCAGCTTCTTGCTCTTGCTGCTGCGGGAAGGCGCCTGCTTGGCCAGAGGCAGGCTATTCACCACTCGGTCATTGCACAACACCCTGCTGTGCTGCTTCATCAGATGCAAGACATGCTGTACGTTGGCCACCACGGCATGGCTGGGGCTGGTAGACTAGAGGCAGAAAAATGGAAAGCAGCCAAGCCACAGCCTTTACTCCTCTCTCCTCTTTACTCCCCAGCTGGGTACAAATAAACATCAAACACCCGGGACACAAACCTCCTCACCTAACAGCAAATCAGTTACCAAACCCAGGGAACTCAGCCTCAGAGTCACCTCCCGCCCAGCTTCTCTCCACCCAGCTGTACACCTTGGTGAACACGCCCGCCTCTTAGTGACAGGAAAGAAAACCACCCCAGTCTCCCTGTCTCTTTAACTCCACCATGCTATCGGTCACCCTCTAAAAACTTTATTCTCGTCATGCCACTGTGTTCGGAACCCTTTGACCCAGACCCACTGACAAGGTCCAAACTCCTCCATATTGGAAATAGGGCCCCACCATCACCGAGCCGCTGCCAACACTCCTCAGCTTCACGGTCCATTTTCTGCCAATTTCTGTTTTGTGAGCAAATAGTATTTGCAGATGGCATTTCTTTTGGGCAGCAACTTCTATGCTATTCCTTAAAACCCAGTTCAAATAATCTTAGGACTTTATTAAAACTGCCAGGTAATTAGGCAATTAACTGGTCCACTTACCAGATCACTCATAACACTGTCTACATTTGTATCATAGCATTTATCCAAATATACTGTCATTGTGTTTGCATACTTTTTTTTGGCAGTACTGGGTTTGAACTCAGGGCCTCACACTTACTAGGTGGCTTCTCTATCACTTGAGCCACACGCCCCAGTCCCAACCCGTCCTTTCTTATTGACCATGACCTGCAGTCACCCTGTCGGCAAACCAGGCCTCCTCTTTGTCACCGCTTCCCTTCCATACAGACTTTCTTTCTAATGTGTTACCGTTACTTCCCCTCTGCTTCCCTAATCCCGTGGACCCTGTCCCAATCTCATTCTTATTCTTTTATCACTAGGATTCGCACTGGTAAAGGCGCAGATAAATGTCTCCACCATTTACAGGCATATAGTGAGACGTGCAAATCAAACTTAAATTGTACAAAACAAGAGTTCCACCACCTTACCTTTCCGGCAACAAACGGCATATCACCCAAGCACAATCTGTAATGTGGCTGTGAGCTGAAATAGTTCCTAGGACCTTTCTGGAAAAAAAAAGAATTTTATTTTATTCACATGGTGATAGAAGCTGACTATTCACAACCAACCTAAGTTTCAGCTTACAATGGAACTACTACTTGCTTATCTATACTGGTGTTATGGTCTTGAGCAAGCTCTAATAATACCTGAAGGTTTAGGAAAAAAGTACCTGCCCTAGTGACACAGTCACAGTTACAGCCCAACAGTGAAACCACACTCAGACCTAGGGCATTGCAGGGCAAAGGCTGGCGAGGCAGAGGACTCCTGGTGTCTGTGCCAAGCTCCCTCCGCAGCCCTCACGTGCTCTCACAGGTGTCCTCCCACACCGTGGTGCACACTGAGGGGCAGATTTAGTCACCCTTGCCTTTCAGTGAAGACACTGAAAACGAGGGGCTCACACTCACAAGGTTGTAGCACTTCACCATGTAGGAGTGTTTTCACACAAAATATTCCAAGCAATCAGCACGTTGTCTGACTGGTTATGTTCTCCTACCTTTTCTGCTGGTTTTGACTTTTTTTTTTTCATTTTTCTTGCACTGGGAGCATATGAAGATGTCTTATCCTCAAAGATAATTCTGTTTGTTTCTAGACCAGTCTGCAACTAGGAAAAACGTGAGAGTGTAAAATTAATGCTACAACAATACAAACTGGTTCAAATCTGACAACTGCCATGTAAGAGCTTATAGAACACGACAGCAGTTATCTGATGGAGCCATGGCGCACCTTTCCCAAATTCTTTAAATGACCACCAGTCTCATTTTATCCTCAACTCACACTGTAGTATAGCTTCTCCTTTCTTCAGCCCAGGGCCCTTGCTTGCTCTACCTGTCTATAGTTGTTCCATGAATTCTAGCTAATGTCTTTTAAAAAATAAGATCTAATTACAGTGTTAGACCCAAAGTATCTGGAAAGCAAAACATACTTCTTCCTTTAAAAAAAATCAAATTTATACTTGCAAGAAAAAATGTCCAAAAGTACTAGAAGTTATTTCACAAATGTTATCAAGCCTTTTTCTTTAGAGGCTTAGTAACTACATTAATTTTAAATAATACCTTATCTTTATAGATGGAACTTCACAAGCTATTGCTAAGAATTTCAGAAACAGCAATTTTCCTTACAAATGTTTCTTTCAAACAGAAAAACAATAACAACAACAAAAAAACCAAAAGAGCAACAACAAAAACCCCAAACCCTATCTGTAAGTGGTTCTTTCAAATCTGCCCATGTATCAAAATTGTCTGGAGTTTGAGACAAATTCAGGATGCTAGGTTTTTCTTCAGACTAATGATTTTGAAACATCTAGGCTGGGGAAATTTATATTTTATACTTATTTAAAAAGTTCCCCAGGAAACTATGGAGCCAAGAAATTAAATAAAAATAAATAATGAAAACTTTCCTAACATTTTCCACAATGTCTGAACTCTCTGAGGACAGAAACTACTCACCAACAGCAGAGTTCAGGGATCACTACCTCGGGAGCATCAAGACACTCTGACATACCTAACATGCTTTATACACAAAGTTCACCAGGTAAAACTCAATGAACAGAAAACTGCTGTTCTGGAAGACTTAAGAGCCAGTGAGTGTAAAAAAGTGAACAAAAAGAACAATTTTTTGGCTGCTTTGACTTTCAGCTGATTTAGTTCTTCCTTGGCAGTTGTCAAGTGCTTTCATCATCACTTATCTCGCTTGATCTCCCTAATACTAAGAAGATATAAAACAAGAGTCTCTTTATCAATGACAAAATCCAGGTTCTGAATGGTTCAATACATTGCCCAAGGTAATACAAATTACAAAGAGCTTAGTTAGAACCCCACTTGATGCTGTTATTCCTCTACAATAAACAAAGTTCACCTCAGAACACAAAACCTTTACTAATAATATATTATCTATATTCTAACAGCAATACCTAATTTGGTTCCTACTGCTAAATAAAAGACTCCAAAGATACCAAACTAATTTTAATAATTCATACAAAAACAGTGAACTAGCTAAATTTGCATTCTATACACAATGCGCTCAGCACCATGCACACAAAGCACCCCCATAAATCTACATGCTACGTAACAGCCACGGAGACACAGTACATCAGCCTACCCTAAAGTCAGGAGCCATGGGGCTCAATAACTCAGAGTGCACACTGAGGGGAAAAATACAAACCTACAAACTCATCAGGAGGTCAGGTTTAACAGAAAGAGAACACAGTGAACCAATGCTTCAGAGGAGCACTGAAGAAAGTCGCCATGCTCACATTCCCTGTGAGAGCCCAGCACCCTGCAGACGTTCTGCCAGAGACTGAACTGCAGAGGCTCCACTCTAGGTGCTCTGAATAAGAACCTGTTTCTTGTGCTCCTGAGAAATGGTATCTGCAAGCGTTCTAAACTTAAAGAGCTTATGAAGTGGAAGAGGACGTCTGGGAGGTATTTAAGCAAAGAACCTCAAAGTGGGAGAGCCTTCAGCAAAACCCACAATCTTTACTGAGTCTGTCCAAGACTTCCTTTAGTATTTTGCTGAGTGTTCTAGAAGTGCAGTTCTGGTCTGTACACATAGTGCTTCTGTGAATCCGCACTGCCTCTTTTACCTATTCTACCAAGTGGCTGGCCACTGCAAGGATAAAATCCAAAATGAGGAGAAAGTGAGGCTGACTGTCCTCATGTGGTGCTCTGTGAACTGATGTGGTCTCCACCTTCTGCCCAACCCACTCTCTCAACTTCTGTCCCGGTGTCTCCATGGTCTCAAGAAAAGGAGCAGTGCACTGCTGTTTGACACAACACAACACTGGGGCTGCACACTGAGCCCCAGTGCCTCCTGTGTGCTGAGAATCCCTTTATCACTGGGCTACACTTCCCACCCAAGAAACACTTTCAAACTAGAATTTTTTTTTTTTTTGCAGTGCAAAGGATTGAACCCGGGTACTCATACAGGCTGAGCAAGTGCCCTATCTCTTGAACCACACTCCCTGCACTTTTATTTTGTTTCTGAGATAGGCTCTTGCTAATTTTGCCCAGGTTTGCTTCAAACTCTCAATTCTCCTATCTCCACCTCCTGAAGCTGAGATTACAAGTGTGCACCACCACACCTGGCTGGCTTTTGGGCAACTGTGGTACTGAATGACGACACCTAAGTTTATATGATTATTTGCCTCATTGTATGTCTCTGAAAATTTTCAATTCACTAGTGTTTTAAATGCTCATTGAAACTCCACAATTTGAAACATGCTAAAGAACTATTAAAATTATACTGATTAAAATACTGAGGATTCATACACTGGACTGTTCTAAAGTGCAAATTAACGTAGGATGACACCCACCAAATGACAGCAAACATGAGGAGCAGCGCAACTCACCTCAGCTGCCTTCGCTTGCATGCGTTTTCTTTCCTGCTCTTCTTCACAGAGCTTTGCTTCCAACTCTTGCATTTTTTTCTGGAGGTACGAGTATCAAAAGTGGATCATAGATAAGAGTATCAAATGTGTCTCTGTGTAGAATTTAGTGCAACAACATAGGAACAGGCTGCAACTGTAGGCACAGGCAGCAGAGCTGGCCCCTGCACTGCAGCAGTGGCTCTGGGCCTGACCCTGCCAGCACCTGCAGCCCCTACAATCACTAACATCACTCCTGAGTAACAGAGAGGGTAAATCTATGGCCAAAGACACAGCTTGTGTGAAGGCAAAGGCAATTGGTTACCAGGAGGTATAACATGGAACTCTACGCAGTAGTATTAAATGCCTACCAAGTGAAACACAATTACACCAGAAATCAGTTCAGAGAACAACTGAAATCAAATGATGCAAGCCTTAAGGATCTCAAAACATTTAATCTTTCAATATTCTGAAAAAGAATTCTCTATGCCCACCAAAATTGTAAAATGTGAACATTCTTCTCCAAATTTTGAAAAAAAACCAACCCTCCCACTTATTTCTCTGCTGGAAGATCATCCTTACTGGTATAAATCTTTAGTGACCTAAAACAAATTTTTATAAATCACACATCGATGAGTGTCAGACATGTCCCCTGACCGCTGCGAGGGCCTGTGTGGCAGTGAGTTTGCTACACTGACCTCTGCGAGGGCCTGCATGGTGGCAAGTTTGCTGTATTGACTTCTGCAAGGGCCTGCAGGAGGTTGAGTTTGCTGTACTGACCTCTGCAAGGGCCTGCATGGCAGTGAGTTTGCTGTACTCCTGTTCAAGGAGGTCCAGCTTGTCAAGTTGACTCTGAACGTGTGTCTGGTCATGCTGTCGCTCTCTTTCTAAGGAAACCTGTGAAATAAGATCAAACACAGCATGACTTAATAATCAGACACTGAAAAATAGCACTGATAATATCTGAAAATACACTGTATGCTATCGGCCTTTCAGAGAGCTACTTAGATATGGAGAAGTAGGAATGTAAAAGTAAGATGAAAACCTGGACACTGATAAATGACTGGTTAAGTGGAACACTGTTCTTACCATGTAACATGAGACCTTATATAAGGAGAATGTCTCAACAGTCAGGGAGAGCAGCGACTTGTTGGACAAATTACATTACAGGTATAAATATGCAAATACTTCCAACTCCCGGACCTGTCAAGTAGTTAATCCACAAATTAGGACACTAATTAGGGGTGTTGTATTTATCTTTTACACACCCTTTGCAGTCTATTTAAGATATACTTCTTCTCTACAGTTTTAGAGTTAAAGATTTGGAATGGCTGTTTTCTATGTTCGTTTAAGGTCAGTTTTAGGGTGAACCAGTGAACTAGATTGAAGAAGCAGAAACGTACTAAATGAAGATCTTCAGAGAAAAAGTCAAACACTGAGTGTCTGAACGTGTAATCACTACTTCTTCATGTATAAGTCTACTTCAATAGCTAATCACATTAAGAAGTTCATTATGATAAAAAATAAAAACCAGTAAGTTTATCATGAATTAGTATGAACTATTCATTCTTTCTACTCACTTTAACAGCTATTTCCAACTCTATTTATACTGTAACTAAAAGGTCCCTATTTTTCTCGAGTGTGGCTCTGTGAGGTCACATACCTGCTTCTCCAGGACAGATGTCCTCTCCATTTCTGCATGCTTTATCATATTTCGCATGTACTCCAGCTGCTTTTCTAAAAGATTGCACTTACTTTCTGCAGCTAACAACTGGGACGCTAGCTCTAAAATGAATACGTAAAGAAGGAGAAGTCAGCTCATCAGTAGAACAGGTTTGAGTACTGCACATACAACATAAGCAGTTATGTTTCTTCCTTGGTGCTAGTCAAACAGTCAGAATGCACGACATCGCTCCTCACAGTGCACCTACTGCAATGTGACGTTGTGATACCTGAGGAGACTGATCACCAAGACTGATCAACAAACCTTGGTTGTGCTTTGACTCCTCGTTCTTGCAGTTCTCTCTCTCTTGTATCTGTTCATCCAGCACCTTCTTATACTCAATCGTCTCTCTGGACAAGGTCTTCACACTTTCTTCTGCCTGAATCCTTTCAAGTTCCAAGCGCCGAATCTTATCTTGAAGATTCTTCAAGGCAGAAAATATGGCTGCCAAATATAAAACACATACTGTAATAGTACACAGAGGTACGTTCACTGACTACAAGATAACAATACACAGGAGAAAAGTCACTGACAAGGTAATTTGAAAAACTGATGGCTTTTTCTGGTGGAGGATCATTTTTGGGAAAAATAAAATGTTAATTGTTACTTCATAATTTTAAAAAATCCATTAAGCCATCTTTTGAGTCTCTGAAATGTTCTAGCTACTCCAGTTAAAAAAAAAAAATCAAAGATTTTAAAAATGGCACAATAAGAAACAAAAAAGAAACCTGGCTCTCTGGGCATGGGGGGTCATGCATATTATCCTAGCTACTGAGCAAGTGGACATCAGAAGAACCTCATATTGAAGCCAGCTTAGGGAAAAAGTTTGTGAGATCTTTGCGCATGGTGGCGCACACCTGTTATCCCAGCTATGCAGGGAACTCAAGTAGGAGGATCTCAGCCGAGGCCAGCCCAGCATAAAAGTTGAGACTCTATTTGAAATAACTACCGCAGAAAGGGCTGGGAATGTGGCACAAGTGTAAGGCCTTCAGTGTACTGCCAAAAAAGGAGAGAGAAAACATAGGAAAATACAACAAAGAGAAACCTTTTTCTACATGTGCAAAATAAATCTAGTATTTGCTTCTGATAATTAAAAACTGAAAACTGAAGAATTAAGTTACCATTTTAAAAACATTTGCATTTTAAGCTGAGCATTGTGGGGCACAGCCATAATCTCAGCACTTGGGAGTGTGAGGCAGGAGGATCTCAAGTTTGAGGCCAGCCTGGGCTACTTTCAAGACCCTGTGACAAACAAGAGCAAAACAAGAGTCCAGATAAAATTAATGTCCTTTAATATGAAATTAAATATTTAATAAATTAATGCCCATTAATAGAACTTTAGCTCTTTTTGACTCACTGAAGTGCATTTATTATTATATATTTTTATTATATTTTACTGTGTAAAACATACAAAGTAACACAAAGATATAAGTATGTATCTTTGGAGCTGTCTGCCCAGGAATCTCTCCTTTCTGTAATAGGGCTAAAACTCTTTATTCCTTTTTCCCTCCTTTTAAAAGTCTGCCTAGTTGACATACAGTAGACACCCAAGAAAAGCCCAGACAATGGCTGTTATTTTGGGAGTTCTGTCCGAAAAGTTGAAGCCAGAATTAGTTCAATGTAAAAATGCTTTTAGTGGCCATATTTCCTGCTGAGTGGAAGAAACTGGCTCACAGCAAGAGAAAATGAAGTTAGGGAAAAGTAGGAAAGAAGAAAAAATAAATAAAAACCCAGAAACTAAGTGCTGGGTGCTTCTGAATCCCTGGTCCTGCCATTCTTCAAGGCTAACTGTGCACCTGCTTGCCTGACTTGGCTGTCCCAGCCTCCCTCACAAGTTATGAACCAGAATGATTCCTCCTTACCAAAGCTAATTCATTTGGAGTGCTTCTCTTAGTTAACCCAGTTTTTACTAACTGCACCTTTAGTCTAAGCTCTTTTTAAAAAAATAAATCTATTATCAGAAAGATACAATGGTTTCATTCTACCACAAATTACATATTTAAAATTATACAAATACATACATGTGCATGTATGAAAAAAATGAAACCTTTACGCAGCAGAGCTAATAGAAGAAGAAATACGGTAACTTTTACTTTGTCCTGTATTTTCTAGTTTTTTGTGTATTAATTTACATTTTATACCCTTATAGGTTTATTTCAAGAGCTATCATCAACATGTTCTTAGTTTCCCTTCGTTCCCTTTTATAAAATTCCTTGCTTTCTTAAGCTCTGACATTCTGAGTGACCAGTGATGGATCTTAAGCTTTTTTTTCCTCTTAGGTAAGATCGTGAGTTCATGATCCACTGTCCATTTATAGTTATCTCAAGACTCAGGTGGAACTGAGCAAGAGACTCGGATTTAAAATGTCATACACTCAGAAGAGGAATAATAGGTAACAGATTTCCAGAAGGAGCAGTGGACCCCTAAATAACCAGTGAAGAGAAACAAAGCAACATGCTTGAACACAGCACTGCTCCTTTCTCTCTGTGGCACATACTGGGTTTATCCTGCATTTGCCGCAGTACTTCTGAAACACTCACTTTGGTTAAGCGGGCATGAGAGCGCAAATGCCTGTGGAACCGCATGTGAGGGCAGGTGCTCGATTTGCCCTGAATCTTGCTCAGCTATCCTGAAGACTGAGCTCCTTGGGACAAGATTTCCTTCACAGTGGAGGACAGTGCAGTGTGCCACTGTGGCCGTCAGGCATTTCAATGCACTGTACTGAGACAGCAGGCCATGTGCATGTGCCTGCAGTCCAGGCTTCTGGGAGCAGCAGTCCTTTTCTTAACTCTCATCTACTCAGCAAATCTAAGCCTCACCATGACATGGCCCACATAGAAGGAAAGTACCTGAATGGCATCTCTGAGAACACACACGTTGAGCTCAGGGCCTCGTGCTTGCCAGGCAGTGCTTTGCCACTTCACTCACTCTGCCAGTCCTTTTTGATAGGGCTCCACGTAATGTCCAGGCTGGCCTGGGCCTCAATCCTATTGGTGCTTCCCACACATCCGGGATGAGAGGTGTGTGTCACTGTGACCAGCCATGGGTCGATCGAGATTGGGGGTGGGGCGGGGGAGGGGGTATTGCTAATTTTGGCTGGGGCTGTCCTTGAACAGAGATCCTCCCAAGTAGCTAGGATTACAGGCTTGAGCCACTGCACCTGACCTAAACATTATTCTGAATAAAACCAGGGATTCAGGATCCCTAGGTGATTCTCAGAGGAAAAGCTTGGAAACTGCTCTAAGTGACTTCTAAAAGTATGAGGAAAAGAGAACCTGCATTGCAAGACCACTCTGTCATTTATCCCAAAGAATGCAGTGCTTGGGGCACAGTAAGTCTAGGATATTTCAATGTCACTTCTTGTTAGTGATGGAGTTGGGTCAATTTATTGCCTTGAATACTATTATCAGTATACCAATACATGTCTGTTGCAGATCAAGGCAGGAAGAAACTATAATTCTGTAGAGGTCAAATTTTCTGGCAGTACTGGGGTCTGAACTCAGCTGTGTGCTTAAGGACTACCATTTGAGCCATGTCATCAGCACTTTCAGTGTTTAGCTTGGGTCTTTTTCCTTTTATTTTTTTCAGATACAGTCTCTCACTTTGCCAGGGGCTAGCCTTGGACGGTGATCCTCTCTGTGCTTCCTGTGTAGCTGGATTGCAGGCAATGTGCCACCTTGTGCAAGCCTCCCCAGTGCTGTTGTTCTGATGGCTCTCTACCTTTTCATCTCTGCTTTTTAAGTTCACTACTTCAACCATGGTATTTTCCAGACCTCCTTCAGGATTCGCAAGTTCATTAGTGTAGTGTTCTCCATACATGTCAGGTTCTCATCTGCTTTCTATTCAGCTCCATCTAACTCATAGGCACCTCAAGCTGATATGGCCCTAATTACATTATCAGTCCTTAAAATGCTACATCTCTACTGTAAGCTAAATTAATCACTAATCATGTACACTAGATAGAAACCCTGGACTCAAGAATTCTCCATCTTCCCCACTGCCCACATGAAAATATAAAAACCCTTTCCTGGTTACCACTGCTGGGTTTGTGTGTGATGCGAACTGCAGTTCACCCAACATTTACAGACCACACCTGATGTGCAAGGCACTAAGCAAGGAGAGGGAGGGGGCGACTGTGGTGTGGGCGGGCAGAGGAAGGGGACACGAGGTGAAGGATGAAGAGCAATTACCGTCGGGCTTCTCAAAGCGTGGAGTGTGGGTGTGTGGAGTGGGGTCACAAGCTCTCCCCACTGTGTACTGAGGTCAACACTACTTTCATAACACTAGTAAAACTCCATTTGCTGTTCTCACTGTGGTGACACCTGCAGTGATGGTATAAAAGCAATGCAAAGTGAAACCTAACTTCAGCTCAAATCAAGTCAGTGATATTTAACCCATTTTAAGTATGGTATTCACTGCCACATATTTCCATCAAGGATAAATGCAGCCACTATGTTCCTGATGAGGCAGAAAAATTCACATCTTATTAATGCTTAACAAAATGGGCTGTCTGTACACACTGACTGCATAAAGTATATACCAAAAGACAATGGTGTTGACGAGGACCTGCAGGAGTGTTTATGGTGAGCTGAACCAGCACCATTTCCTTTACAGAATGCCACTTTTACTTTTACTGATAAACTAGGGCTCTTCAGCAGGACATCGAGCAGAGCAGTTACTTCCTCAGAAGTGAATGGAGTGAGTCTGCTTTTCAAATACCCGACAGTAACTGCTGCTAATGACAAAACTTCAGCTAAAGTTAGAATTCTGAGAACCCGGTCCTATACTGTGAACTTTCTAATTTCCCAATAGACTCTTCTTCCAAGACCAGTGATATTTCAAAAGTATGTTGTGGTGTTGTACAATGAAATTTGTTAAGATTAGAACATCTGCATATGCCAGCATATCAATATGAAAATTACAAATGGGTGGTCATTCAAAGCTCAGGCAAAAAGAATGGATGTCAGTGCTGTGATACAAACGAAGGAGATAACCAGCACAGCAAACCTTTGGCTTGACTAACTCCTGGGAATCAGACTAGTGAAATGCTTCCCATGTTACTAGCTGAAGTTATTCTGTATGGCTAGGGCACTGAATCCTACTACACCTGTCTGTCTGGATTGTTTGTGCAAATAGTATGATTTATAATTAATCTCAGTTTTCCTTCTGGGAAGCTGGAAATCGGTAATTGTGACTGGTTGTGCAGATACAAAGTGTGACCAGTCTCCATTAAAAACCCTAGTCTCGGTTGTAAGTTTGCTTTCCTTGGTAAAAACACTTCACATGTGTTGTGGGGGAAGAAGTGTGACCCCAGAGAGAATCTTAAACCTACATCTAGGTTTCTCCAGGTTCTACTTGTGTGTCTTTCTCCAGGGATACTTTTTTTTTTTTTATTGTTTTATTATTCATATGTGCATACAACACTTGGGTCATTTCAATACTTGTTTACTTTACAACTAGTTCTGGATCCTATGAGCCCTCTAGGTATCTCCAGTCACACAGGTAGGTGGTCGTAAGGTTCCCCAAAGCAGATTATGAAATACTCACTGATGACCACAAGTGTAGTCAGTTGCACACCTGTAATCCCAGCCCTTAGGAAGCTGAGGCAGGAGAACTTGGGGCTAGCCTGGGCTACAGCGCTGTCTCAAAGCAGCAAAAAATTCCTGATGTTCTCATACTCCACAACGCGACTACCCACTTCTCAAGGTTAGTATAGTATTAAGGAAGAACATCCACAAATTGGGGAAAAAGGCTATTAAAATATGTCTCCATTTGCAACTGCTGTGTGGGGCTAGTTTTTATACACTTTAATCAAAACAACTTATTTCAAAATAGCATGCAAAAGTACATATGAACATTCGGCTCTCTTCTCTTAGGCTAGAAATTGAGGAGATTTGCAAAGTATGGTGTAACACTGCCACTCTTCATTCTGTGTTTTTAATTTGGAAAATGCAATTAAATTAGAAAAACAGACAATAAATTGTTATCAATGCCTAACACAGCAGGTAAAATTTAACTCCTCCTTCCACTGGTGACAACATTACACTTCACAAGTTTCCCACAAGCTTCTAGTAGGTATGCCAAGATGTGTTTTTCTCTCAGCACTTAAGGAGGCCAAAAAGAGCTCTTGAATGGTAAAAGCCCCAAGCCAGCTTGCCAGCAATTCCAGCAGGTGTCTGGCTGCACATAAACGGCATCAATTCCATATGTGCCTGGTATGAAGGTGTTGGAAAGCACTGGCCTGCCAGAGCACATCAACTGATTGGTGGTGAGCTGTGTTACTTCAAATGCACACCCCTCTACAGCACCACCATCTGCAGTGCAAGCTGCACATAACAAACAGGTTATACTGAGGGTTTTGGAATGACTGGTCACAGCTAAAGTTCAAAACAAATGAGAACAAAAATCACAAGAAACACAGCTTAGCTGTCTCTTCATTTCCAAGCAGATAATCACACAGCTGAAGTGAAAATACAGTTATGAAAACATATGAAGTCGTAACTAAGGGAAAGCAGAGCAACATGAAAAAGGATTCACTCTATGCAAAGAAAAGAGTCACACAGAGTATTCAAGACCAAATGTAGTCAAGAACCATGTGGGGGTCTGCTGAATCACCTGCAAAACTGGAAGAGAAGATGGTTTTGGGACTATGTTTGAGTAATCAATCACCTGAAATGTTTCTTTATCTGTAAATTTTAAATATGCCTGTCTTATACATTTTGTGAAGGTTAAATGAAATGTAATTGGATTTATTTGGGATGCTGCTGTGTTTCATTTTTTAAGCTGTATTTAGCCAATGAGGGTTTACCCATGCAATAGGCTAAAAGGCATTTTTACTTCAGGATGTTTTTAGTTTCAACTGGGAAACACATTTTATGTGTCTGAAAAAATTTTGAATCAAATTTTAGAAACTATCCATATAGAAAAATACGAGGGAGATAACAATATCATATAGTTACCAATGTAAATTCTGGCCCACAATGGGGGCTCAAAAGTGCTTGCAGAAATAAATTTCAGTAGTCTGACGTCTTAAGAACTGCAATACTCATCCAAACTTCCTTTTAAGATACTGAGTTTCTCCAGGTCCCAGTGGCTCACAACTATAGTCCTAGCTATTTGAGAGGCTGAGATCAGGAAGATTAAGGCTTGAGGCCAACCTTGGCAAACAGTTTGGAGACTCCCATCTCCAAAACAACCAGAGCAAAATGGACTGGAGGTGTAGCTGAAGCAGTAGAGTACCTGCTTTGCAAGTGAGAAGCCCACAGCTCAAACTCCAGCCCTACCATCTGCCCAAAAAGATAGTGTCTCAACATTGATGATGATAAAGAACATGTTAATTAACTGAATGCTTAAATGACAGGATGCTACATGTCAGACTACATCATTTAAACACTTTCAACAATTTAAAATAATGAAGGCTATCTAACACTCAAACAATGTAACATAGGTTTAAAAAGCAAAAAACACACAACTGAAGCTGCAAGACTTTCATTAAACTTTAGTAATGATTTATTTAAAAAATAAGTCCAAAATACAATAACCACACAAGAGACTTCTAACTCTGTGGGAATGCAAGACCTAAGAATTAGCTACTAATCCTTCCACTGCAATATTATGCCTAGTTCTGATCTTTATATTCATGAAAAGACAACTTAAAGAAACTTCAGAGGGCAAATTACTAAAGAATGAAAACTTAAAGGGACAAACTTTCCTACAGAGCAGTCAGCAAGTTTCTGCCCCAGTAAGTCACCAATAAAGCTCACTGCTTGATCACATTACTAGTGATTTTAAAGAACGAGACAAGATGGAAAAGGAGACGCAGAGGAGAAACCAGAGGAACGAGCTTCTCTGTCTTCAGAGCCAGTGCTGTGGACCACCCACAACTGTCCTTTCGTGTCCACAGGAGGTGAGTACAAGACCCTTCCACCTACCTAGACACCAAAATCCACAGATGCGCAATCTGCTCAATGGGATGGTGTAGGATTTGCATATAACCAACATATCCATCTTCCCACACACTCTAAATCATCTTTAGATTACTTATAATCCCTATCATAAAAAACTAAGTGCTATGCAAAGTTATTCTCTTTTGTTTAGAAAGAAAAAATGTCTACACATATGCTCACTACAGACGCACATTTTATTCTCAAATATTTTTGACTTAAGTTGGTTGAATCCATGAATTCACAACCCAGATATAGAGGCCCAATTGTACTTTTATAGTGTGTTTGTATATCAATACCTACTTTCAATACCTACATTAAGACACTGAAACTACCATCTCCTTCACACCCATAAAAGTAAAAGCTACAAAATCTGAACAAAGGACCAAGTGACTTCAGAAAAGACACTTGGGGAGAGCACCAAGAGGTATGTGTTAGAGAATGTAGGGAAAGAAAGGCTTCTCAGAGGAAATGATGTATTAAGCTTTGCTTTAAGAATAAGTACAATCCTCCAAAAAGAGAATCTCAGTAAGAGTACAAGCAGTGACTGTAGTGAGGTCAGCAGAAGGGAGACCCAACACCTAACCTCCAGAACCCCTCCCTGGTGAATACCTTGTGTTACATGGCAAAAGGACTTCTAGAGATGTTGCTCATGTTATAGACCTTAACACCGAGATTATTCCTGATTATGTGAGTGGGTCCAATCTAACTAATAACATGAGCAGAAACTGTTCTCTTCCAACTGAAGTTAGAGAAATGGACCACCAGGAGAAGTCAGAGACTGGAGGAATATGAGACCTGACCCATCATTGTCAGAGGGGACCACAAGGAAAGCATGAGAAGGAACAATGATAGCCTCTAGGAGAAAACTGGCTCTGACTGCAGATGGACAAGGGAACCTCAATTTAGCATGAACAAGAACCTGAAAGAGTGTGGAAGCACATCTCCCCCAGGCCTCCACTCAACACCTTGATGAGCCTTGCTAGACCCCAAGCAAAGGACCCAGAGCAGCCCTCCCAGGGTCCTGTTCTACAGAAGACTACGACACAGTAATCTGTGTTATTTAAAGCCAAGTGCATGGCACTTCGCTAAGGCACCAGGAAAACTAATACAGATGGCAAGTTGGAGCAATGATATATTTCAGAGTAGAAAGATGAGTGGGGGAAGAACAAGAAAGAGGCTGGCAGACAGGGGACTGGCTCATGGAAAAATCTAAGACTTCACTGTTACTACGTGAGCCGTGCAAGTGCTGAAGCCTTCCTGTACAGTGTGACACATAGTAGCTGTGACAAGTGGCAAGAATACTGTCAACTGGTGATGAGGAGTCACTGGGCAGAGTATTATGAACATTCAGATGATCGATGAAGAGAACCTGAGACAAAGTAGTAAGAACATAAGGAGATAGAACTTTTGAGATATTAAAGAAGCAGACAGTCTTCGCTCCTGACTTGTGTTGGAGAGAACAAACCAGTCACAGGTGACTCAAAATGCTTTGGCTTCTATGATTGGATGAGGTTCAACGATCAACATAAACAACAAAGGAAAACTGTTATGTTTGAGGGGGCTAAAATTAGGAAGAGGGAAATAGGAATTCAAAATAATGGAGGTTGAAAATAAGAATTTTAAAGTGGCAAGTAGGCACAAATAATATGTCTGGTGGGGTTCATACCTCTGCTGTTGCTTTCTGGATAGGCAAGTGTGGGCTTATTTGGGGAGCGTCGCAGGTCACTATTAAGGAAAGGCTTGTCAGGTGGGTACAACACATAGGGAGATGAATGGAGAGCCACACTTCCCTCAGACTTTGATGGTTCAGGTAGGATGTTCTGAAAAACAAAAGTGCACAAATTACCTTTCAAAAGTTTGAGCCACAAACACTCATGACTGAGTACTGGACTATCCAAATGTTCTTTTGACAAAAGAACAGAAAAACAGTCCACTGACTATACACAGAAGAATTCAACAATTGTGTAGGTGGAGAAATGTAACGTTTAAAGCATTTCATGTTTGTGTAAATGTAGCCATATGCCATATACTCACTAAAAACAAATGCTGTGCACAACAGTGTGGTACCATGAATAATATCATACTTTAAAATATGTGCTGTGAAATATACCTCCAGGAAAGTCAATCTTTTACAGAATCTGAAACTGCTACAGATAACTGAGTTACTCTATCCTCTATATTCAGTGTCCAAAACTCTAAATAGAAAATAAGGGATGTCGTTGCCTCAAAGAATTTATACTTAAGAGGAAAAAAAAGGGAAATAATTAGGAAACACTACAGCTTATCAAACAACCATACATAAAACTTTATTTCCACACACATCATCTGTCATGAATGGAATTCTGTCAAGTTTGGGATTATGTTCCACATGACATGAAGCCTATTCTGGAGTTCTGCTTGTAGGAGTTGTCCTGTTGACAGACCTAGAGAGAGGACTGATGGTGGAGAGGCCAAGGACTGAGTGGGATGACAGGTGTGCCCACTGCTGAAAATTCTCTGACATCTACCATGCTTCAAACTGCTAAAGCAAGCTAGGCTTTTCAAGTCTTATGAGTATTTACAATAACAACTTATCAAAACATATGCTGTATTTAATATGTATTAAAAACTGAAGAGTCTACTTTCCTGTTTAAAAAACATACAAATTGAGCTAGTTTACAAAAGCAAATATAAAGCATACACTGTTGCTATGAAAACTAAGAGAAGGCAAAGAGTTAGGGACAAGCCTCAAAAGTCAAACCCAACCATGCTGCGGTATGTGTGCTCAAAGACTAGGATTGTTACTTACCAAGCCTAATGGTTCTGAACTGGCATCGAGTTTTGAAGCTAAGCAGAAAGACACTGTGAGCTGTCAGTTCTTAAAATGTGGTCAAAGCGCTAGCTCTAGACTGTCACGTGGCATCATTTAAATGTAATCCTTCACAGAGAACTGTGTCTTCACTGGATATCTAGAACCACAATCCTATCACTTAACATTCAAAGAAGTTACTGATTTACCTATAGATTTCCTCCCCTTACCCGCCCCCCCCAAAGAATCAGGGGAATTCCATTATGTGATCAACTAGAGTAATAAACTAGTTCTCACAAAAGAACCTACTAAGCACCAACATCTGTTCTCAAACACCCTGCCTTCTCTACCCTGAAACATGCAATGAGTTTCTCAGACTTGCCTCCATTTACCTACTTAAAGTCTCAGTTCCTATAAATAAACCCCTGCCCTGGCACATCTATTTCATCATGCCTCTCTCTCCCCACATTTTTCACAGTGCCATTAAAGACCCTAAAAAGGGCAAAGACAAACCCTTTCCCGAGCTTTAGGACTCCCTTCAACTCAGACTTGCCTCTGCCTTTCAAAATACACTCCTGCAAAGGAATCTTGGTAACTGTTACCACTTCTTAGTTACTCTCCTACACATACCTCAGAAGGAGCTCTCAGAGCTAGTTAGTGATCTCTCCACTGCAGAGGATGGGCTGACACTGAGCCCAATGGCAACAATGTAACAAATGTGTCTAATAACTGCAATAAAAACCTCTTCAATGAGTCATGGAAGCTTCTGGAGGTGAACAAACTGAGATGCTCGGAGGGTAGTATGATGAAGAGTTAATGGAAACCCTTTCTTCACACCTTCCATTGAGCTATTTTTGAGTTGGACCCTTTACAATAAAACCATAACTGTTTAAGTGTAACTTTCCTGAATACTCTGATTCATTTTAGAGAATTACTGAGTCAAGTGTCATGGGAACCCTTAATCTGTAGTCAGGTGAACAGACATTCAGGTGACTTGGTCTTGGAGACACCGAGGACATCTGGCTGGTTATTGAAGCAGTCTTGTAAGTCCATCTCCCTTGATGTGGGGGAAGGGGGTCTGAGTTTCATGTGGGTGGTGTCAGAATTGACTATAGGACACCTAGTTGGTGTAAAATTGTCAGAAAGATGTAGTCATTCCCACTAGTTAATTGCCAATGAAAAAACTCAAATATCTGTTTAATAAGTTTGCTGAAAGTCTTAACAACTCTTCTGCAAAAATAGGAAAACTGCTTTGTAAAGATTGCCCTTTTCAAAAACAGTAACTAAAACCTGAGAAACAAAAGCTTCTGGTTTCCTTTCTATCACAGAAACAACACAGAAAGCAGCCCTAGGAAAGGAGACTAATCTTCCCACCCCAGTCCAGGACTGCTCACATTTCATAAATGTGTTTTCAAAGAAAATGATGTGACTCTAGGAGAGATCTTCAGGATCAAAGGCAAAATGTTCAACCTGATCACTATCTTTCCGAGTGACTTTAGTGTTAAAGCAAATACCCTACTTAGGAACTTATACTTCAAATGCTCCTTGGACATGTTTTTGGCCCTGTGTTAAGAATAATGGACTATTTCTTTTTAATGTGTACTTTGCACCTTCTTTTAAAGCGAAACATGCTAAACTAGACACAAGGGAGATTAAACCCAAATGCGTTCAACGAATATTGCTTTGAATCAATGTTGTAAAAGAAGTTTTCAGATACTGCTAAAATCAATCCTGGCTCTTGTAGACCGTCTTATAGTTTGACAGGCAAACTAGAAAGGGGTATGAAGAACTGTTTCCAGGTTAATACAGACATTAATTTAGCTGAAAAAGGGTTTGTGTACAGAAACAGAAGAAATAAAACTGAGGAACTAAGTCAAGGTCTTATGGTAGAGGACCTTAATGTATTACACAAACACTTTAAAAACAGAAAAAATGTAACCCACTCATTTTATGACGCAACCATGATCAAAACCAAATTACAACATAAGAAAAATTATAGGCCACTATTTCCTCATAAACAAGTTTAAACATCTTAAACAAAAAATTTAGAAAACCCAACACTATAGGAAAGCTAAAACATGATCAGTGAGTGTAAGGTTCTTCTAGGAATGCAAAACACAATGATCACTGTGACATCTTCTAGTGTAATCTACATGGTTAAAGTAAAAGCCCATATGCTCATCAACAAATGTAAAGGACATTCAAAACCTTCCATACCCAGCAAAGAACAATTACGGCAACATGAAAGTTTATCAAACAAAAATGGCAAACATACTTAAGATGCAAAATTTGACACATTCTTTTCAAAATCAAGAGAAAATGTGTTTACTAGAAATTAATGTCCACAAATATAAGAATCAATATCCTAAAAGAATCAGTTATTCCCAAATTAAACTCAATGAAATTTCAATCAAAATTCCAAAAGCAGATTCTACAATTTCTATTGAAAAACAGAAGACCAATATCTAACATTTCTCTCTTCCTCCCCCCTCCCAACCAAATAAAAAAAGAGAATCACTGAGAGCAAGTGCCAGTGTTGACAGAGACACTGCAAGTGGACAGATCACAGCGATGCACCCACAAAGATAGTGAAATTGATGTAAACCATTAGGGAAAGGAGTTTTCAACAGGTGGTGTGGCACGTTTGTATAATCTTAAAACATGAAACTGGACAGATTAATTCCAAGTAAGTTGTGGATTTAAAAGGCTTCAACTTTAAAATTTGCAGAGAAAAATTTAGAAAAATATCAAGGTCTTGGGATGATGGAAAAATATCTCAAATAACAAATCATAAAAAAGGAAAGGCATATTGTAATACTATGTTAAAATCTCTTAGTAAAAGAAATCAAAGCTAACCTGTATTTGGAATAGTCCTACAAGCTTAAAGATTAACATCCAGACTACCTAAAAGAATGCCTATAAATCTACAAGAAGTGGCAACCCAACTGAACAACAGGCAAAAGATGAACCGGCATTTCATAGAAGAAAAAATGAGAGGCCAGTACAGGCAGAAGGGGAAAAAGAAGCACCCAGTGATTAGTGGAGAACAAATCAGAAAAAGAACAGGGTAGCATTTCACACCCTATCTAGCAGACGTTTATGGGCGGGACAATATTACCCATTAAATAGCACACAAAATACGGGGGACTGCTGGTGGGAATGCACCGTATCCTTGGAAACAACTCAGCATTGCTAACTGAAGCCAAAGACGCACATGCTCCACAGTCAAGCCATCTCCCTCACAGGTGTATCTATCTACTCAACCGTTTTCCTGCTTTCATTTTTTGAAAAAAATAATGGCCTAAACCACAGCAGTGAGCTGTAAACCACATCCTGGTTTCTGACTTGCCCCCTTCTCTTTTTGTCTCACCATCTCTTTATAGTCTTATGCTAGATTCTAGTACTGGCCTCTGCTTTCACTGTTTGGGATATGTTGTTTTCGTTGATGAAAGGCTAGTCTCCCACATGCATGTAGATGAGTGCCCCCAACGGTCCTTAGAACAACCTGGAAATGTGCTGCTTTCAGGAGCTTTGCCATGGAGCATGTAAGGATCACCAGAGCAGAATCATTCGTGACCTCCAGCAGAGAGCCAAGAACCCCAAGACCATCAAGATGCGTGGCTTCCCATTTCCTGACCTAACTTAGCATGCACACCACTGCTCATTCCAAAATGGAAGCACTAAGTCTAACCCTAATGTAACACTTCCTGCCAGATATTATGTAAGCTAAAAGGACTGCTAGTAGGAGGAGCTGCAGAAAGGTTTTTTTAAAAAAGGTCAGGAAAGTACTTATCTGCGCCTTAAATTTACTTATTTACTTATTTTGGCAGTACTGGAGTTTGAACTCAGGGTTTCATGCTTGCTAGGTAGGCACTCTACCAACTGAGCCCTCCACCAGCCCACTTCTCCTTAAAAATCTTAAATGCAGTGTTAGAAGACGTAAGATATGTCTAAAGAAAATTCATAAAGGAAATTAACATAAAGCCACTGAGCAGTTTGGTTAAAGTGCCTGGATAAGAAGCTAGACAAACTGGAAAAGTAAAGTCCAAAGTAACAAGGAGTTCAATACTATTATAGGAAAATAACGCAAGACCAATGAGAAAAACATTCCTGTTTCAATACCATGCTGCCTGCACTTCTATTTAGAATGTTTCATTATACCCAGTCACTACTGTTTTTCTGTCCTCAACGATAGTGAGGTGATAGCAGCAAACACTCAGATGTTGCCTGCTGTTGCTACTCTCCTTGCACGAAAGAATACGTTAAGTAGACAAGTTGAAGCTTACTGCTTGCTTCCCTGTAGTTCACTTGAGATCTGCTTGATGGCTGTGTTATTTGCCCGTGTACTTGTTAAAAGTGCTTGCCTCTATTTACTGTTACTAGCTTTACCTAGCTCCATGTTGGGTTTATTAACACAGAGTACACACGAGTAGTTACTGGTCACAATCTGGACTCGGAATAAGTAGCCTTTTGAGGTCATGTCAAGTCTTTGTATATCCTCTTACTTATGACCAGCGTTTGTTAATATAAACTGCTTCTTAAATTCTGTTGGAAAAGGCAGCCTCACTTCTGATTGTTACGTTTTCAGCAGAACCATTTCTGATGTCTGGGAAAACCAATTAAATTTGGTCTTTTTTTTTTTTTTTTTGAGAAGCAGTAGCTGCCAAGTAACATATTTTGATGTAGCAGGTCAAGTTAGTTAAGAAGATCACTATGCTTCGATTTGTAAAGGGTCTTAGATATTCTTAGTGTCCTGTCCAGTAAAGCTGAGCTTAGTGCATGAAAACTTGTGCTTTCCTACTGAACACTCTAGCATTTCTGTTGAGGCTTTGCTAAGGACTAAGTGTTGACTACATCCTGGTTAGCACAGCTCCGCTAGGTGACATGGCACAGTGCAGCTCAATTTAACATTAAGCATTCCTTGTGGGGTCTCTAAGTGCTAAGTTTTGAGAGCAAGGAACAGTCCTCCTCTCTCAAGTTTAATCACATCTCCCATGTACTGACACTTGCTCTGAGTTACTTTTACCTTTTACTGATCTAATCCCGAATGATCTCCAATAGCTTCACTCACTACGTCTTAATCTCTTGGCCTCTCTGCAAACTTGTAACTCTATTCTCCTTCATCACTTCCCCAAGGTGACTGCATTCCTAAACTCTCCCTTAGTGTCTATGAAATCACCCTGACGTTCTGACTTCTTCCCTATTGAATTTTTTCCCGTTTTTTTTTTTTACCGACTTTTCCAATTCATCTCACCCTTTACCTCTGCATTACTCTGCTCATTTCAAACACCCCAAGTTTCCTGAGCGCACCCTCGCGCACCCCAGAATGCTTGCGGCACTCTCTACCTAACTGTGGGACCAGCAGTTACGTTCCTTCAGCATGCAGCCAGCTCCGGGTTCTCCTTCGGGAACCCTTCGGTCGCCGACCCAAGCACTGCTAGCAAACATCCTGTCAAACTGCGCTGGGAAGCAATTCTCTAGTTATGCACAGCTTCTCCTAACTGCTCGGCTGCTGGGCAGCAGTTTCCACCCAACGGACCCGTGCAACTTTGCAGTCCAGCAGTCCGCCAGGCACTGAGCATTTCCAACTGGGATCCAACTTCAGCTTCGTCACTTTGTCTTCCAGGAGCTCGACACTCCAAGGCGATGGACACAGGTGGGTGACCCTGGTGGAGGCGAAGGCAACGCCTGTCCGACGCTGCACGTCCAGGCTGCAGTCCGTGGGAAGGCAGGGACGCGGTCCACAGCTGACCGCGAGCTTCCGAGCCGGCCGTTGCACCACTCGGCCGGGGCTACGGTTCCTCGGGATGGGGGAAGGGCCATAGCTGAGCCCCGCAATGCTCGGCACCCCAGACACCAGGCTGGAAACGGAGCTTAGAGCGGGAAGAACCGGGCCAGGGCCGCTTCGCGGGGCGCCGGACCGACAGCCCCGAAAGGGACGCCTGGGCAGCCTAGACCCGTCGGGCGCCCCGCCGGCCTCCGGGACAACGCCAGCACTGGACTCAGGACCGCCCGAAACGCCAAGAGACGCCCACCTCGAACCCCTTCGAACGCCACCTGCTTCTTACCAAGAACTGAGAATCAGAAGCCGCGGAGACCGACGCCGCCGCCATCTTCCCGCCGGCCCAGCGCGGGCCACCGGGACTCCGCGGCGGTCTGGGTTCTCGAGCTGTCCTTCAAGATTCGAGAGCCGCCCACCAGGGGCGACCCTCTGCAGACGCCCTGATGGAAGGGGCAGGCCTGCTGGTGACGGGTCTAGAAATCCCTGCCACACATCCCCGCAGGGACGCCCACGCTTGGAGCGCACGCGACAAGGGCAACACGTCCTAACTGACGTCTCCAACAGCCAATCAAAAGATCGCATGTCCTCCTGGGCGGGAGAGAACCCGCCTCTTCCCGTGTGACGTCACAAGGCGGCGCGCAGCGGGGCGGCCCCGGCGGGTACAGCTGCGGGGTACCGGGTGGCTGTGCGGGATTCTGCAAAGGGGAGTCGTAGGCCAGGGCTCCTGTTCTCGCCAGTGCAACTGAGTCGAATGACTGAGGCAAAATAAAAGCTAATGGGGCGCGCAAACACTCAATTCTCTGGAATTTAACCCCCAGGAGAGCGTGAGCTTGATTTGGGAACGCCTCTCCAGGTGAAGTACTGACTTTCTGCCCAATGAATAGGACCAGGAGGGACTAAATGTGTTGGTCCAGTGGAAGTCACGGGAAAAAGCAGAAGCCCACGGCGACCCTTGGTGAACCTTTGCCCTTTTGGCTTGGGGCGTCAAAGTTGCGAGTGGTCACCGTGGCCGGAGCCTGTGGGCGGGGCCGGTTTGAAGCGGATTTCGCGCGTCGAGAGCGTCGGGCTGCTATTGGCCGGCGCCTCCCTCCCTTTGTGGGCGCTGCCTGCGTAACGGGGGCCGGGGGTTGGGCGGAGCGGCCGAGTGACGTGCAGTTCTTCGCAGCCAATCAGGAAGCGGGAAGCGCGGCCAAGAAGGAAGCGGATCCGCGGTCGCGCAGCGAAACCGTGGCGAAAGGCCCGCTTCGTCTCCCTCCGCCGCTGTCGGAACCTAAGCGGGAGCGGCTGGGACGGCGTCACCGGTGGACGGGGGCGGAAGTGTAGGCGGAGGGAGACGGCGGTGGCGGCCCCGGGCCTGGGGCTCTGGCGCGAGGCCCTGGTGGGCGCTGGGCAGGGTAGGGCAGGGCAGGGCCGGGGAGGAGGAGGAGGAGCCGCGGCCCGGGCGACAGCGCCCGAGTTCCCCGTAGGGCCCGCCCGGGAGCGGGCGGCGGTGGAGGAGGACGCCGAGGCCAGGATGGCGGCGTCGGCCCTGTACGCCTGCACCAAGTGCACGCAGCGCTACCCGTTCGAGGAGCTCTCCCAGGGCCAGCAGCTCTGCAAGGTCCGTGGGGGCCGGGCGGGCGGGCGGCGGGTTGGTGTCCGCCGGCCCCGGGGACCCGGCTTTCCCCGGGCTGGGCATCAGGTGGGAAGACCTGGGAGGGGGGCGGCCACCTGTCGGTGTCGCAGGGACCCCATGGGACCCCGTCTCAGGCTCTTCCGCCGGTCCCCTGCTCGAGGAACCGGGGGACGGCGTTTGCACTTTCTTGCTAGGACCCGAAGCCGCCACGCTGATGCATCCTCCTTCCCTGTCCAGGAAAGCCGAGCGACTGGCTGGGGACCAGAAAGCTCTGATTTGGAGCTCCTCCCATCCCATTAAAGCCGGATGCTGTCTGTGAGCAACGGTGCAAAATAATGAGTGGCTTCCCATTGAGCCGGCCCTTGGAAGCGGCCAGAACAGCTCTCTTACTTTATCCCCTAGCCCCACAGCTAATGCAGACAAAGACACCTGTGCCTTCCCTAGGAATTATGTCCAAACTGACCACTGGTGGGATGAGTTTCCCAGTCGCCCACGTTGGGGGCCAGGTTTTATTCACGCATCAGAGGTTTGACTGGGTTGGGAAGTAGTTTTTCTACCAGAAGGATTCGGGTCTTTGAGAGGGATGCTGACCCTCGTCTTGTCTCATTGCAGGAATGTCGGATTGCACATCCTATTGTAAAATGTACTTACTGCAGATCAGAATTCCAACAAGAGAGGTTTGTATACCTAACAGCTTTTGATTGTCAAAAGCAACCGTTATGTGCATGAAATACCTGGAGCGTGTAATCCCATATTTGCATCAAAGGTATTTTTAAAATGGTTTACCTTCAGAAGTTTTAAGTTACACATTTTTCGTAGATGGTGGGCAAGAGCTCATAGACAAAACCCGGTGGTTATTTTAGAACTAGACCTCATTTTAAACGAGGAAATAAGGAATAAACTAATCCATGAAAATGTGCAGCCTTGCTAGTGGAAGTATTAATGTGAACTATTACCGTTAAGCTATAAAAAGTAAAATGTTAATGGGCCCCGGGAGAGATCTATAGCGTGACTACCTGCCTTCCAAGAGCAGAACCTCCTCACTTTTAGCAGCTAAAGAATAGCAAAAACTTTTTGACAGGTAATAACACTTTGAGAGCACACTTAAGGATGTGGCCTATAAGAATGATTGTTTTCCTCAGTAAGAGGATATGAAAATGGAGAAAGGCCAAGGGGAAGGTCAGGTGGCCACTAATGTGCAGTGCTGTGTGTTAACAGTCGCAAGTGTCGAGATTTTGGAAGTAGAAAGGAGGCATTAGGATTTTTTGTTTTGTTCCTTTTAGGAAAAAAAATACACAATAAGCTGGGTGTGGTGGGGCATGCCCATAATCTCAGCATTCCACAAGCAGAAGTACTGCAAGTTTGATTTCAGCCTGGGCTACTTAGCCTAGACCTTGTTTCAAAAAACAAAACAAAACACAGTAAGAGGGTATAAAAACATTTGTCCTAATAGAAGTAAATTTAGGTAAAATGACCCTAAAAAATCCTTAACATCTGTATTTTTAAGAAAATACTTGTTCAAAATTAAAATACATTTTTATTACAACAGATTTTTGATTCATTTATTTTACGCAAAAAGGTACACGAATATGCTTATCTGTATATGATTTCCTTTTCAGCAAAACTAACACAATTTGTAAGAAGTGTGCTCAAAATGTCAAGCAGTTTGGGACAGTAAGTTTGTCTTGTTTTTATTTCATGTTATCATTTTTCACAAAGATGAACCTTTTACAGCTCGGTAATGTTCTTATGTATTTAAAAATATAAAAATATTTCATGATAGTCTCATGGGAAAGTCACGACATTCAAAGACAAGTCAAATTAAGTGCGTGTTTTAAGTGTACAGTACTGAATTTTAGTGTGAAATTTGTGGAGCTGTTCTTTAAAGAAAAAAATACTGCAAACTCCTGATTCATTCAGGGAACTTACTTACCCAGAACGTTTGCATAATGAAGTGTTTTTTCCCCTCTTTACAACTATTTTTATATGGCAGTGCTAGTGAGATATTTATTCACACACTTTGTGACAGTATCCTAGTATAGGTGTCTTACATGTGAATTGCAGTCATTATTGATATATCATTATTACTTAAAATTGGTCATCCTGTTGACCTTAACACTTCTTCCTATCCTGAAGGGCGTTTTGAATCCAAAATTATTATAACTTTTATTGAATGTGCTGCGCCAGCAAGCAGTAAGTTGAAAACTCACCTGTAGTATATATTTATCAGCCGTACCTGTGTATGATGAAAAGTTAAACGTTTTATGAATAAATGACATGGCAGTTATGCCAGTTAGGATAATCAGTAGGAGTTCATTTCTTCAAACTGAGTTGAGACTTCTATCCTTGCACACCTTTATTTCCATTCTTCCAGACCTTTGTTGTGAGCAGTTTTTGTATTTCATGACAATATGAAGTTGTGAGTATATTTCTCATGGTCATATTTAAATTTCTAGTAGAGTAATGATCTTCATTACTCTAGACCATAAATATTAGCTGAATGAGTGCAAACATGATGAATATCTTTGAATACGGTAGTGTGACATACTTGACAGGAAACATGTTTTTCCTATTTCATTCATTTGTCCTAGAAATATATCTAACACTGAGTAAGTTTATATTTTTAAATATCTCAGTTAAAAAAATGTTACCTCTTTTTCAGCCCAAGCCTTGTCAGTACTGTAACATAATTGCAGCATTTATTGGTACCAAGTGTCAGCGCTGCACAAATTCAGAAAAAAAGTATGGACCACCTCAGACCTGTGAACAGTGCAAACAGCAGTGTGCTTTTGATCGGAAGGAGGAGGGGAGAAGAAAGGTGTGTTTTACTTATGGCATCTTCTGGAAACTATTAACCGGCACACTGATGAGACATGTTCTGTTTTCTGGGTTCCTAAAAGCAAGTAGTCAGATAGAAGTGTAGAAATAGTGAATTTCCTCCATCATGTATAGCACTCATGTTGATTAATTGTGACTACTGTACTTTAAAAGTTATGTGATGGCTTATGCCTGTAGTCCCAGCTACTCAGGAGGCTAAGGCAGAAGGATGGTTTGAGACCAGCCTGGACAAGGGAGTGAGACCCTTTCTCAAAAAAAAAAAAAAAAAAAGTAAAAGATAAAAACTGTTCTGTGATTGCAGTTCTGTAGTAGCGGTTGGCTCCCGTTTGATCTGGGAGACTTAGCAATTGTTAGATAAGTCCTTGTATGTACTTGCTCTCTTGCTAGTCACTTGAAGTTGTTGGTGTGAAAAAAGAGAAAAAACCTGGTGGCACATTGGCACATAAACTTTACAGTTCATTTTCTGCCTTCTGGTATGGGCTCCTCTTGAAACCATTGTTTGTTTTTCTCTACCCACAGTGACTTAATAAGTATGTGTGTGCATGTGGCATTCCTCTGCTGATCAGCATTCACACAGGCCTCCTGTTGTCTGTCAGTTTGAGTTGCTTTGGAGGATGACTATCTCTTTGAGGGTCCCCGGGTCCCCCACAACAATGTATGTACCTTAGTTGTAAGACATGTCCCCTCCAGCACTTCTGTGTGGTCTTATTTTTATAGGTGTAACTAGTTTTGGAAAGAGACTTCTTCCCAACATTTCCCTCCCCTTCCACACACTTGATTCTACTTACGTGCAGGACTTACGTTCTCTAAAGGTGCTAGAAACAGTGACTGCTGAACCACTGCTCCTAAGCGGATGATGCGGGATCAGATTCTTGCCTGTGGTCGTAACATGTTGTTCAGTTAACCAGTACATAGCCTTGGCTTGTGTTTATGTTTAAAGACACGTATTTCATGTATGTTGGTTAGTTTAATTGAATTCATGCCCAGTAAGCACTAGCAGTGCTGAACAAAGCTTATGTAATACCATTTTTTCCGTAAGGCACATCACAGACTTCTTGAGCTTGGGAGTGCTATACAGCACTTCAGCACTGCTCTCTAGGACCATTTTAAACATAAAATTGCCAACAGAAAGCAGAAAAAAAAATGTGAAAAACTGCCCCAAATAGATTGAAAAAGCACAAGTGATTATAGTGAGAGAACTAAGAAGCCAAGTGTTACCTCGTTGTGTTTTATCGAGGAAGGAGTTCTGCCTGGTGACATAAGTTCTCACTGTTTTGTATGACCATCAGTGTGCTGTGAGTACAGACTTTGCAGGTTCAGATTGATTCCAGCACACAGACAAATATGCAAGTACGAAATCTGAGGAGAACGAGAATCAATTATGTATGTTATTTAAGCATTCCTTCCCTTTTTTCTGTAAATATGCCGCATTTGCTGTTGAGGGAAAGAGTTCATAATTTTAGTAATTTCACATTGATTTAAGCATTCAGGCTAAATTTCTTGGAAGTGTATCAGTAATTTATACTTTCCAAGACTAAGGAAAAAGGTAACATGTCTCTCCAAATTAAAGATACCTTAAGACTAATGGAAGCCTCTGTATCATCCTTCAAACAAGCATTTGCCCAAGTGTAATTTTATTTTCACTTTGCAAAAATCTGTGAATGTACACGTTCACAAAATTTTGCACATGTGTGTGAGATATAACTAGAAGTTGAATAATTTGTGTTACCAGTTTCCCTTATAGCCAATTTATGAGTGCAAATATTTTCTTAAAAGGTTGATGGAAAGTTGTTGTGCTGGCTCTGTACTTTGTCGTACAAGAGAGTTTTACAGAAGACAAAAGAACAGAGGAAGAGCTTGGGATCTTCACATTCAAATTCCTCATCTTCATCTCTTACTGAGAAAGACCAGCATCATGCAAAACACCATCACCACCACCACCATCACCACCATCGTCACAGCAGTAGCCATCACAAGTAAGTACTTTGAAATCACATTTTCTAAAATTCTTCCTGGCATTTGCACGCTGTATTGATGTTTGTGTTGGCATTTACTTGGAAATATTGATGAGGTGCTGGTCTAGTTTCTATTGCACAGGGTAAGTTTCTTGAGTACCGAAGGCTGTTCCACAGTGAAACCATTTATAGCTGTTTATCATAACAAAGATAGGACACTTAGAGAACTAATCTGAAATAACCAAATGAAGTCAGAATGCAAATACGGCAATTAATGCTTCAATGAAGCAAATCCTCAGTGTTCTTGTTTTCTTTAAGTAATTGTTTTGCATATAAAAATTACGTTTGCCTCGGGTTGTCATTAATTTGTTTTAATGAGAGCAAATTTAATCCAGTGACTGGGAAGTATACATTTCGTTCTTTTGGAGAACAGATCATAACACTGTTTTTGACCATGACAGAGTGCATCTTTTTTTCCTTGTGGGAGGTTGGGGCGGAACTAGGCCTTTGCATGCTAAAATTAAGCTCCACGCTCGCCATGCCCTCATCCACATAGGAGCATTCTTAGTCCTGGAAGTGCCTGAAATATGAGAAATCATTTTCAATTAATGTACCTTTCTGCCTTTTAAAAAACGTGTAGGAACGCTGTTCACATACAACTGCTTGATTCTCACAGTGGCCTTGGGTAGGGAGAAAGTGAAATGACGTTAATATCTTAACTCTATATGTAGCCTAAGGAGTTTTTTTTTTTTTTTAACATAACTAGTTTTTATGGAAAAATCAAGCACACGGATACAAACAGGGACTTACAGATGCCCCCTTTCCAGGAGAATGTATCGTTCTGTGAGTCTTTAGGATCTCAGGTAGTTACTTTAGGCATAGTCTCACATGCTAAGAGCTAAAGCGCTCACCTGTGGGAGCGAGTCATGTCACAGCTGTATCTCATTAAGACTTGTTCTGCACTGCAGCAGCTCTTACAGGAGGAGGTCAGTGCACTGACTTCCAGTGTGAAGGTGCTGCAGAGATCCTGTAATCATCATGTCAGAACCCAGGGGACTCAGGAACATAAGTCTCCCTTGGTTTTGTTTCCTTCAGAAGGAAATATGGAAAAGTGACAACATGCCATAAAGGCTGTGCAGACATGCTCCTAACATTCCACGAAAATGCCTCTTCCCCTAATTTATTTCAACATGCTGTGAAGGGACAAACCACAGTAATCTAATCTTTGGGAAAAATGACAAGTTTCTAAAAGATACGGGCAACAGCGACTTTGATCTGTTTCCCCTTCTGGTCACTTAAGAAATAAAAATATAGCCATTCCTGAGTATTCTGAAGGGACTAGGTCTCAGAACTCCATGACACCAGTCCCAAATGTTCGGATCCCTTATAGAGAATGACATGGTATTTGCATGTGACTTACGCAATCTTTGTGTACTTTAACTCACCTCCAGGTTACTTATAATATGTAATACAAACTAAAGGTCAAGGAAAAACAGTCTGTACTCTTCAGTACAAACACAGCTCTTGTAGGCCTAGCTACTTTTTCTGTCAACAGTTGTCTAAATCCTCAGATACAGTAGGATGCAGAGGGCCAATTGTACTATTTTGTATTTGATGGCCGGAGACAATTTTATGAACAGGCAGCAGGTTTATGGGGTCCTGTGTTAAGTTGAGATGTACATATTGTATAGGTAGTGATTGGTGGGGAGAAAGGGGTAGTTGTGGCAGACCTGGCACTAAGGCCAGTTTGCATCCAAGAATGAACAACCCTCAGAAAACTAAGATGAGAATTCCAAGTGTTTCTGATGAATCTTTACTGATCTGCTTATTCTCACTTTAAGATCTGCTTAGTGCTATTCATTGATGTGTCATTATGGGCTTGCTAAGGCTCATAGAGTGATGAAATTTATAAAAGACACAAAAAAATTCCTTAACAGAGTTGCCATACATTGTCACAACCAGTAACTCAGGTTAATAGAATTACAGCTACTGTTTCCCCAGCTTGGCATTTATTTATTTACAGCATGTTCTTTAGAACATAGCTTGTTTTTTCTTTTTTTTCCACTTTTGTTTAAAAAGCTTCTATGGCTAACAGTAAATTTCTTACATAGACACAAATATATAGTATGTACTTATGTTGTATTTGCTAACATTGTACTAACTGCTTTTCCTACATAATGCATTTAATGTCCACATTCCTGTGGGATATGAATTAGTGCCCATTTCACAGATGAAGGAACTCACACGAGGTCACATAGGCTGCACAGTTTTACATTCTTAAGTTATGTGGATATGTGGTGTCTCAGTCACAGGAGATGGTGTGTGCATGTTGAATGCACAAGCTAGGGTTTAGTGAAGAAAAAGAAATGGAGAGCCTGTAATGTCTTACAGTGGTTATGAAAATGATGGCAAAATGGAAATGAAATCATGGTATTATAACTAAAAGTTACATCATTTGTAACTTTGAGATTTCCCATATTTTCAAGATGATTTCTCTAGAGTACTGACAGACTACAGAAAGATGTGAAGACTGGAGAGGAGTCTTTGGCAAACTAGGAAAGAATCAAAGAAATTGAAATTCTTCCTTTGATCAGTAGCTTGAATTATTTGACAGAAAGAGTGTCCATTTAGGAGAGTTTAAAAAGTCTTAACTCTAAAAGGACAGATTTTCTATAAGAAACAGAAAGAAAGGTTGGCACAGTATAGAGATCCTGGGCATTACAGATACAGAGTCCTGTGTGGTGGTTGTGCTCATAACCCAGCCCTTGAGAGGAGAGTTAGTTGAGTTTGATTAAAATCTGTCCCTGCCTGTGTTAAAGAATTTAAGATGGCCAGTCATCATGTGATTAGAATTTATCCCATTAGAGAGTGACTTATCCAGTACATCAGTGTAGCTTGAAAACTTGATGGGATGTGCTTCTCTGAAAAAAGGATTTATGTTTTACTTATAACATATAATTGATTCTATTGAGAAAGAATTCTATCAAATATAGATCTACTCAGTATATGCTGTTATCAGATGTTGTTTATATATTTTTCAGAATCAGCAATCTAAGCCCAGAACAAGAGCAGGGACTATGGAAACAGAGGTCAGTGTGCTAATGTGTTTTCCAGAACGCTTGAATGTGCTCTTGTAGATGTGATGTCTCTTTAGCTTTGCTACTTAGGCTTCAGAAAAAGTCAGTGATGCTCGTTAATATTTTAAGGGAAGAATAACTTACCATTTGGTGCCTCTACCCTTTTTGCTCTAATTATTCTTATTAATGTTTGGTTTCAGCCATAAATCCTCTGCAGCAATTCAGAATGAAACTCCAAAGAAAAAGCCCAAATTGGAATCTAAGCCATCTAATGGAGATAGGTAAAAATGAATTCCTTTAGTGTTGTGAAAACTCACCTTAGTTGAGCAGTTAAAGAATAAGAGCAGTACCAGGTGTCTTCTACACTGACTTCCGAGTCATCCTGAAGAGTGAACATAGTCAGTTGAGAAGACTTTAACTTAATTTTGGCAATGAGAAAGTGGCACTGAACTGAGTTGCTTTAGTTGGGAAATAAATTTGGGGTTTGAGAAAGAAAACATCTTAGTAGAGAACATTCTCTTTAATTGTTCTTCAAAGAAACACAAATCCGATTGTGATATTTTTAAATTGACCTGCTTAGAGTATGTTTTTAGATTTAAACTATTTTGAGTGTGACTGTTTTAGTTCATTAGCCAAGTTTGCTGATGTTACTGTACAAATTGGCTGCCTATTGCTTTACACTAGAAGTATTGACCCCCTCAAAGCTAATACTGAATTATATTTCTGCAGGTGTATGTAATGTGTGCCATTAGTAAGGTAATTTGCCAGTTGCATCCATTTCTGTCAGGTACATATTTTTTTGCATTAGCCTTAAGGATGTTTGTGGAATTGTCTAATTTATGCAATTTGAACACCTGCTCATTTTCCTTCTACTTGACTTAACTGTGCTTTACCTTTTTCTTTTTAGTAGCTCTATAAATCAGTCAGCAGATAGTGGGGGAACAGACAATTTTGTCCTTATCAGTCAGCTGAAAGAAGAAGTGATGTCACTTAAGCGTCTCTTACAGCAGAGGGACCAGACCATTTTAGAGAAAGATAAGAAGGTAAGTGTGTAAGATTCACATCTTCACTCCTACTCTATGATTTGGTTCTGGTGGTCGTGCATGATTCTTCTAAGACAAACTGCAGAAGCTCAAATTACAGCCTACGCCATTGAATGCAGATCAGTAAAGATGACCTTTCAGTAATAAAAATGATCCAAGCTGGGCACCAGTGGCTCGAGCCTGTAATCCTAGCTACTTGAGAGGCTGAGATCAGGAGGATTGCAGTTCCAGGTCAGCCCAGGCAAATAGATTCCCATTTCCAAAATAACCAGAGCAAAATGGACAGAAGGTGTGGCTCAAGCAATAGAGCACCTGCTTTGTAAGCACAAAGTCCTGAATTCACCCAAAATAGAATTTACTAAGAGCTAATTCTAAAATAATTTGTGAGTATTGGTTTTTAGTAAGCCTGTGATTTTAGGCTGGATCTAATCTTCCTGATGAGGTGTAAGTGGAATGTCGCATAGATTCTCATGGTTTATGAAATTAATGCAGTCTTAGATCTGTGCTGAGGATCACATACTTAATGAGAATGATCACACCATGGCCTCCTGTGAGGTGGTGAGCAGCAGTTGGTATCCATGCTCATCTTGTAGGACATCAGCATGCTCACTGGGATTGAGGGTCTAGTTGGATCTGAAGGACTATCACACGTTGTGAAGAGAGCATGCTGACAGCAGTACAGAGTAAGGTTCTTTCCTGCTGGAAGAGCGTCATAGCAGAATATGGGCAGGCATAGATGTAGCAGGAGATGGGTTTTGAAGTCATTTAGCCGCACCTCTTTCAAATTCCAGTTCTAATACTTTTCTGTGTGGCCGTAAACAGAATGGTTTCATTTGTCAGGCCTTAGTTTTTTAATTTTAAAAGTAAAGAGGATCTATACCATAGTTACATGAGTGTGTGAGGCATTTACTACAGTCCTCGAGTGTGCAGAGTTCACAGGAACTGTTACTGATGTCTGTCATCTCTGCGGTAGAATCTACTTTGTGCTTGTCTTACTGTCCCAGACAGTGGGGCCTCTCCCTTTGATGGTTAGTGTACATAAATTTGTTTTAATATGCTTGTACATTTAAGTAAATTCAGAATGTGAAAATTAGCATTGACATGCAGACTAAAAATAGGTATCTTTTTCTTTTTATTGCAGAATTTTTTAAATTAATAAGCACTTATGGAAATACATTCTGTGCACAAAATTTTGGATACACTTCTGTTACGCAAAGCCAAGTATATTTACATTAACCATGAAAAAAGTTGAGTAAAATATGAAGTTTATTGCAAAATAGCAATAATTCCGAAATCTGACTTTAGATTTCTTTTGGCTTTCTCTAGTGGAACTTCTTTGTAGCTGTACACTTAGGTAAAGTTTTCTGCTTTTCTTAGTGTCCCTCTTAAAACAGAACACACTAAGGGAATCCAAAATTAGCAGTGTTGTAAGAAAACAGTTCTAAAACTGAAATGCACCCTTGCAACTTTTCTTACAAATGTAAGAGAACGAAGTTATTTTACTGAATTTTGTCGCGTTATTTGGTGACTTCTGGAGCCAGACACTGTACCAAATCATGAGGCTATAAAGTCAAATAATTAGGACAGTCTTTATCTTCCAGAAGTTCATTTTCTGGGAGCAGCCCACAATGTGATGAATAAAATAATTATCTTGGTGGATCTGGTATGAACTGGCATTTCAGTCATCATATAGAATATCGAGAGAGAAAATTTGAATTTTACGAACAGGAGATTTTATTTGGAAAGATGAGTGTAATAAACTGACTTGTTTCCTTCTGACTTATGAAAAAATTATCATGTAGTCTTTTTTGCTTCCTGAAAACCCTAATTTTTCTCTTGTGTTTGTCTAGATTTTACAGAAACTGCCTTTCCTTTCCTTCCATTATTCTAGCATTTTTCCGACATGTCATTTGTGTCGTTGTGCTCTGTTCTCATTTTTTCCTTAAGTAAAGATGGTACTGTGGTGGCAATGTGCATATAATCCCAGACTTTGTTGGCAAATTAAAGTAACACAGCTCTTGGTTGATAACACTTAAACTTTATCTTTCAACCTGGCACCATTTTAGACCCTTACTTTGTGTGACTGTGGAGTGCACTTTAGTTGAAGTGCTTTCCCAGGTGTTTCTGTTGATGTGCCAGCTGTTGAACACTGACCAGTGAAGCCAAAGTGGGCACTGGATTTGCAGGTATTCCAGCACTAAAATTATATTGAGGCAAAGCAGGCAGAACTCATCATCTCACAAACAAGCTTTTGCATAGGTTGTGAAATTCAGGAAACTGCTGCTAACATCTTCTACTTTTGTAATGAATGAGAGTTTATTTTGAAGGATATTTAAAATGATTTGTATGTGGGCAGATATATATGTGTGTGTATATATCTTTTTTCTTTTAATCTCTTAGTTAACAGAACTAAAGGCAGACTTTCAGTACCAAGAGTCAAATTTGAGAACAAAGATGAACAGTATGGAAAAAGCTCACAAAGAAACCGTGGAACAACTTCAGGTAAATGGCATCACTTATGAAGCTGGAGGGCTCAACTCAGGCCATTGCATTCATTGACTGACATTGGTATTTGTAATCCTGTTTTCTGCCTGTGTAGGTGCATTTTCTTTCTTTTGCATTGTTCAAGTTTGAACTTGGCCTCACACTTGCTAGGCAGGTGCTCTACCATGTGAGCCATGCCCCCAGCCCTTTTTTGCTTTAATTATTTTTTTGGATAGGGTCTCAAATTTTTGCCTGGGCCAGCTTCAGACCGCAGTCCTACATATGTCTTTTGTGTAGCTGGGATTTCATGGGCAGGCCACCATGCCTGGCTTCAGTTTTGGTTTTGACTTTTAAGTTTTCAGTTCTGATTCTGTTAAAAGTTCCTGTTTGAAATAACTTGAAAGGCAATTCAGTACATTAATTCTAAAAATTTTACCTAAACTCCAAGTGGGATTTTTAGAAGAGGGTGACATTAGAATATGTTCAATTGGTCACTGAGCTATAAAAATATAAATGTCACATTCATGAAACGAAGGTGAAAAGTAGTCATTCTTGGTGCTTCCTCCACATCCTAGGAAGAGAGATGGGTATAGAAACCAATTCTCAGAGACTGAGGGTGCAGGAGATGTACACTGTGTGCACATGGTGCGAGTCAGCCTGGTGCACATGGCCCGATGCTGTGCTTCACTAGGAACTAAACGGCCTGCTGTGCCTGCCTCTGCCTCCAGCATTGCCGCGTGCGTGCACAGAGCAGCAAGTGAAGCTGGAGTCTCCATGTGGCAGGCAGGCACCCTGCACTGGCACAGGTCATCCCTCACCAAAGCTTGTTCTTCCTGTGTTTGGTAATTAAATGAAGCCACACCAATGTAATTACATGGTCTCTGATACATAAATTCTGAGTAAGGTGTAAGAAGTGGTTTTCGTGTGTGTGTGTGTGTGTGCGTGCGTGCGTTCCTGTGGTACTAGGGATCAAACCCAGGCCCTCGCTCTTGCTTGGCAAGTTCTCTACCACTAAGCTGCATTTTCAGCCCCTGAGGTTAAGAACTTTTAAGTCTTAAAGGCATGGATGATGTCGTTATACAGACTTCAGACTTGATGGGAGAGTACAGCTTTAAATGAAAGGAATTCAGACTGCCGTTTGATAGGTTGCTTTTTGTTCATCTTATTTTAAATATAACACCAAGGGGTATTTGCTGCTCCTGATTTGTGGTTTTGTATTCTTCGTTTACCTTTGCGAATAGTTAAAATTGAGTAGCATTAGGCACCTGCTGAGATAGAGTAGAGATGGCCTGGTCTTTCACCTGTTCTTCATTCAGAAGGGTTTTGAAGAGGCTCCTCCATAGGACCTGGACATAGGAGGCACTTGGGCGGCTCATTTGGGAGTGTGGGTCATGAATGCCCATCTCTCTGTCCTCAGAGATTGCCCATCCCATGCCTGGGACTTCTTGCACTTAGTTATCAGTGCCGATTGATGACCTGGAATGTAGTCTCTACCTGATGATCTCTCACCTTGTGCCATGTGATCAAAGCGCTGCAGCAATCACAGGAACTATGAGCAGTACTTGGTTAGGATTTAGTGTGGTGCTTCCCACTGCTCAAAAGGGCGGTTTTTATTTTGTTTTGAAGTCAGTTACCAGCACATGAGCCTGATTCTTAGACCTGTCCTTCCTCTTTGCTGGGGGCTGAGTCCATGTGACTCCATGTTAGCTGATGCGCAGACTTCACGTGTGCTTGTTTGCTCCTTACAATAACTGGGTTATGGGTTACCCTGCTTGGTGCTGTAATTATGCCTCCTGCCTTGGCCTTACCTACACCTTGAGCTCCTCTGCCCTGGCTTCGCCACCTCTACCACTCAGGTTGCTAGTCCATCCTTGTTCGCAAACCACTCCCCATATTGTGAGTCACAGCTCAGTGCATCTCACCCCACTCCCTTGCCACTCTCCTAGGAAGATTCTTTACTGAAGTGAGCCAAACAGAGGTAGTTTATCTTCTTTTGGTGTTTTCTTTTCTTTTGGTTTTTTTTTTTTTTTTTTGAGGCAGGGTCTCCCTGTGTAGCCCAGGCTGACCTGGAACTCATAGTCCTCCTGTCTCAGTCTTCCAAGTGCTGGGGTTATAGCATGAACCTCCATGCCTGGCTATTTTCTTACCTCAGTGTAACAGAGAACTGAATTCTGTAACACAAAGCTTATCTTGGTCTAGTAGCCCTTAAAATGTTTTAAACTGTCAAGCCTAAAAAGAAGCATTCAGCACCACCCCAGTAAAATGCCCAGAATACTAGATGGACATGTTAATTAGCAGTAAGTGGCTAAGAGAAAGGGAGGTGCCATTGAGTGCCTGTTGTGAGACTAGTGTACTCAGTTTGCTCCTTCCCTCATTGTCGTGGGTGGTGGAGTGTCTGTGTTACACATGAGTACATACTCCAGGTTACTTAGGAGGTAAGTGGCAGGGCCTGTGTTTCCTTTAGATCAGCATTTCTCAATGTTCTTAAAATTTATTAAGTAATTTCACTGACTTTTACAGTTCATAATTAAAGTATTTTAGGATAAAAACATGTATTTAAATATCACATTATAAAATTTGATATTTAATATTCTCAGATTACAATAGCACTTGAATTTGTATCCATTTAACAACTGATTGTTTTTTCTTAAAAGCTTTTTCTTACATAATTTACCAACACATTTATTAGTGATGTGATAAGGGGACTAAATTATAAAGGAAAATTGAAAATTAGCTACTAAAAAAAACTGCTTTGAAGACCTAATTTTTGTGTTCTTGGATTTTGTACTTAGAATATAAAAATGATAAGCTCATTGATTTTTTAATTTCTTGATTTAGAAGAGATAATTTGGAAATTCACCTTTTTATCCTTTGGTGAATCAACATAAACTTGTAATTGTTTTTATATAAATTAATTTTTAGGTCTGGTGAAGGTCTCTGAGGCAGATTTGCAGACATATGCTGGTTTTGGTTTGCAATGCTGGGGTTTGAATCAGGATCTCATACTTGCCAAGCAAGTGTGGTCCCTTTGTGCTTAGTCGTTTTTGAGACATGGTCTTGTGGTTTTTATGGGCTGGCCTCGCACCATGATCCTCCTAAGCACACCTTTGGCATGGCTGGGTTTAGAGGTATGAACCACCATACCTGGCTTATTTGCTCAGATGGGGTCTCAGTAACTTTTTGCTTAGGGATGGCCCCACACGAGAATCTCCCAATTTCTGCTTCCTGTGTTGCTGAGATTAGAGGCATGTGCCACCATGCCAGGCCCCAGATACAGCCTTTTTATGCCCTTCATTACTGGTACTTTGAAATGTCTGTTTCTTTGCTGTTTTTATCCATTAGGTCTATTAAGTAATACGTAGCTAAGAATTAATGGGAAATTGTAATCTAGTACACTGGCTAGGACCAGTCAGCCAGGTAGTGAGTTGAAGGGTTGTATGTGGGAGGCCTGATGTCCTGTACCTTCCAGGCACTCCCTTGATTTGTCCTTGGATTTGAAATTGAAATTCATTCCCGTCTTAGTTGTGAATAGGCACCGGGAACGTAACTTGATTCCACACATGACAGCACTGAGAGTGTGTGATACAGGTCCTGGGTATTAGCTAGAAAGAGTGATTACAGAATGTCAGGTGTGGAAGTACAAACCCAGAAGGCGTTTTTATTTCATGCATGCACGGGGAAGACAGTATTATCTGGCCACACAATAGCTGAAATGAAAAGTAGAATGTAGATCACTAAGATAAAACACCCTCCACCATACCTGGAGGACTGAGAAGCCTGTTGTAATGTGCTCATCCTGACGAGCAAAGGCCGTCAGAATGTTTTCATATGCTGTGGAGCGACACTGCGGATTGTAGAACAACAGGTTCTTTAAACATACAAAGATAGTCCTGACAAGTACCATCATTTTTTAAAAACAGGCTAGAATCTCCTCTTTTATATGTAATGCTTATAGTTGAGTGTTTAGCTCAGGCTGAGCTGAGACTCAGTCCTCCTGCTTCAGCTTCCTAAGCTCTGGGATTATCCAACTCAATTTTGAATCTTTAGAAGAAAAAAATATTTAGGCTTTAAAGCCCAGGTACTTAGCTCACGCCTGTAACCCAGCTACTTAGGAGATGGAGATCAGCAGGGTCATGGTTCAAACTGCCTGGCCAGCATGGGCAAAACTTACTGAGATCATCACAGCCCACAGCTGGGCATGATGACACACATCTTTGATCTTAGCTATGTAAGAAGCGGAAATAGGAGGGTCGTGGTCCAGGCAGACTGGGCAAAAATGTGAGACCCTCTCTCAAAAATAAAGTGGAACATAGCTCAAATGGCAGAGTGCCTGCTTGGCAAGCATGAGGCCCTCAGTTCAAACCCCAATACCACCACCCAAAGAAAAAATGTTCAGACTTTCATGAAATTAAAGTAGTGATGATATGAAAGTACATAGGTCACACCAGAACCAGTCCAAAATGTCTGTATGGCAAATGAACACAAATAGGATCAGAAAGGTAATTCTGGTGGGTACTTGACAGCCCAATTGTTTTTCAGTAAGAAAGGGCCTATGGCAAAGTGATGAAGTCATTTTTGCAATAACAGTCTCTTGCTGTTTCTGCAAGACAGTAAAGGTCAGCTGAAAGACCTAGAGATTGCTGGGAAGTATTCTTCCCAGACAAACACTGATTCCTTCTCTGGTGCTAGGAGACACAAAATAGTTTTCATGTCATGTGTTAAAGGACCAGAATTTTTCCTGTTTTGGCGATTTGAACCTTCTTTTAAGTGGATTTGTTTCATTGCCCGTCTTTATGATGACCTTTATCTTTGGACAACAAACACATTTGCCAAGAGGGCTGAAAACCTTTGCCTGAAGAGTTTTCTTTCCTTCTACTTAACTTTACCTTAAATGAATGAGAACTTTGTTATATAAGTGAAAAGAACAGTATTAAAGTTAGTAGTACTCTTCAGCATGACTTTTAATGGTATTCAAACTTTTTAAATCTGGAATTTTTGTCTCTCACAGGCCAAAAACAGAGAACTACTCAAACAGGTTGCAGCACTGTCAAAGGGTAAAAAGTTTGACAAAAGCGGGAGCTTGCTAACATCTCCTTGAAAAGGTTCCGTGTCCGGTTTGTGCTCACAGTGTAAATTGGGGGAGTTCTGTGTGGTGGAAAATATTTTTGCACACCAAATGAATTGGCGTGTTTACTATTCACTTTTGTAACTGATATACAACATTTTTTAAGTTGTGAAAACATTCAAATAAAACTTCAACTGGTTTGAAGTAACTTTTTAATTAACGATACCCAGCAACTTTTTGCCAGCAATAGTATTAAGCCGTTGTGAGGGAGTGCGTGAGCAGTGCTCTTTATAAAGCAACTTGCAATAATAGGGAGGCGTGGCTATAAGTCAGAGCAGCAGGGCTTTTGCTTTTGTTTTTGTTTAACACTATGCTAATTTCAGAAGATAGTTTTCAATTTAGAAATAAAAAGCTTTTAAATAAGGAAAATGGTGAACACTGGTTTTGGGGAATTGTATTTTTACTTTGCATCAACATGAATTCAGGAGAGAATCACGGTGCTTTTATTAAAAGGACTTCAGAGTATCTGTGTATATGTTTTTACAGGCTCCTTCATTAACATTAGCACCCAGCATTTTCATTATTGGCATAGAAAGTAATGTTTATTGTACAGTATCCGAGGCAAAAGGTGTTTCGTTTTGTAAAAACTACTGTAGATTTTTACTTACAAGTGCCTTTTCCACCTAATGTTTTTATTTATAGGAATGCTGATCTTTTGTACATAGTTTGTTTTAAAATCATGTTTAATAAATGTTTGTATATAAATGCATATGTACAAAAGCCTATTTCAAAAAGAAATCAAAGTTGCTGGTAACAGTTTGAGGTTACGTATTAAGAACTGACTGATACTGCATAGAGACTTGAGGTGATTTTGTGCTTATTTCTGTGTAATAAGGGAGGCTGTTATTGAACTCACTTAATTATGCTGAAATACTGCCTAAAGATTTAATTTTGACTCATTTCTGATAGAGTAAATTTATTTTTTGTTATACGGCTTCATGTTCATATTTTGTGAGTTACATGTTTTACTTTATTTTTTATATAAATTTTCTTTAAAATGTATGCTTCTACAATGGTTCATATATCTGCTTTCCCTATAATGTTGGTTATCTAAGTTAATATTTATGTATACCATACTTAATTTGTAAATTTAATGCAAATTTGGAAGAAATGACTTTTTATAATCTAATCTGCTTATCTTTGAGTGAGTTGGAATCTACTGTGAGATTCAGGCACTATTTATAAGTAAATTGTCTCAGAGTCTTTACAATTGTCTATAAAGCTTAAGAGAGAGTGGGATAGAGTTTGTTAAGTTACTGGTTCTATTCTCATCTAATGCTCTTCAGATGGAATGGAAGTTGATCTCCTACTTAAGGTCAGTGCAGACTTAGTTCAACTGTAAAGCCTCAGTCATTGTTAGATATATTGTATAGAGTGGAAGAGTTCTTTACCTTAGGAGTTTATGGACAGAGATCAATTTGTTTCAAGTAAACAGTTAAGTTGATCAGTTTTGAAGGTTTTGGTTTTAGACAAATTGGATTATGAATTTCACATCAAACATCAGCTTTCTTAAAAACATGGTGATTATAACCATTCTTTTTAACATGATTCATGTTTCAGTAAACTATTCCTATAGTTGTTTATAACAAGTGGTAATCTGTCCAATTTGGAAACATATAATCTAGTTGATTTTCAAGTAATAGTAAGATTGAATCAGTCAGATTTGGAAAAATTGTACCAACTTATTTTTATGAAATCTTCAGACAACTAATCTTAAATTTATTACTCTCAACCATGGTAGAAATGCCTTAACATGGATTTTAATGTTTGCAGAATTTGTTAAATTCATAAGATAGTCATTATCTTTCTTTAAGATTTGTAATGTTTTGTATTCTGGTTTCATACCTGTTTGCCAACCCACAGTGGTCATTATGGTTCTAAGATAAAATACAATAGTTCATGTATCTTGTTGGAGATGCTGCAAAAGAAAATTGCCTCTCCCCTTTAGTGAACAGTAAGATTGAAAAATCAGTTTAAATAATTAAGCTTTGTAAATTCCAAGGTTAAAACCCTTTTAGGGACTTCATGGTATTTAGTCCTAAGTAAGTACCCAATCTTTATTCCATGACCTTATTTTATAACGTAAATCTTTACAACTGTATAAATAGTAATTGAGTCCCAGTACTGGATCTGTAGTGTATTGACATAATGAGCCGATACTCTGTAAACGTGACCTGTAAGGAGATTGGATGTGTGCCGTTTTGTGCTTTTAGCCTGTTTCCTGCAATTGATTAGCATTTCCCAGTGAGGGTCATTTTGGCTCAAGTTATTTATGTATTAATAGTCCTTTTTAGATTGTATTGGTCTACATATGCATTCTGCCGTGAACCTGTGTATAGACCATTGAAATACTGTACTTGTACACATCTGACTGTTGACATTTTGTACTTTTTCTAAATCCAATATTTCACAATAAAAACCTGTCAGTTGCTTTGTATTCATTGCCTATTTCTGTTGCACCACTTAGTAGCTTAAAACAACAAAAAATTATTTAACAGTCTTGGAGGCCAAAAGTCTAAAACTGGCCAGAACAAGGGCTGTCCTTGTGGAGGTTCTAAGGGAGAATCCAACTTCTGGAGTGGTGTTCCTTGCATTCTGTTACTTTGCTGACCCTTCTTGTGTCTTCAGAGCCATAAGTGTGGCATCTTTAAGTCTCTGCTTCCATCATCTTTCTTTTGCCTTACTGTCTGCCTGTCTTCCCTGTAATAAGGACCATCATTGGGTCCACCTGGATGAATGGGATGACTTCTGCATCTTATCCTTAGTCACATCTGCAAAGTCCTGAAGCTCCTATAGTCTCAGACTCAAAGCGGCGTCAATTAGACGTCTTTGGGGCCACTATGGAGACTTCTGTAAGCGTCATTGTTTTTCCTGTTTTCTCAGCATGAAGTCCTAAAACAAAAGACGACAGGTGCAGGCCAAACATTATAATTTTCCTACCCATTCAGTCTGCTTTGGTACAATAGTTTCTTCTGGGGAAAGGGAGGGGTGTGTAAACTTTTTATTTATGCTTTCAAAGCAACAATAAAGCAAACCAAGATATATATGTAGTTCCACACTTTGAGAATGAGTGCTGTAAGAAAAGGCATGAGGTAGGGAAAGAATAGGTTTAGGAAAAACAAGAGGGAGACATTGTAGGAGGGACTGGGCATGAACTTGGAGAGGTTTTCTGGAGCCCCACTGTAAATGTAGTTTGGGTAGAGACCACCAGATTTGTGAAGAGGAAGTGACCTAAGAGCAGATAAGGACAGAAACCAGGAATCATTTTCTCTAAGTCTTGATTTTACAGAGGAAACAACAGGTAAGCATAAGTGACTTAGGTGTTGACTTTCCTTAATGTCCTTCTGTCTTCCAAAAACAGTTCAAGATAGCTTGGCTTAAGTGTCTTGTAGGTGGCAGATTTGCTGCACAAAGTGACCATTTTTAAAGGAGGTATATACACAGCCATGTCGGGCATAGCTAAGAAGTTGAGAACAAGTCGGTTGTCATAAGCTTCTAGGCAGAGAAGAATTTCAGTTCTTAACAATGTGTTGGATAATTTTAAAAGGCTGTAATTTTTTTCATGTTTAGACCTGCTGTCCCTGTCCTTGAAATGTGTGATGCCAGTCACTTCTCAAGAAAACTGTAATCTGAGAAATACCATTAGAGGATTAGAGAATGAATTTTTCCCCAAAAGATCTAAGACTTGCTTTTAAGATAAAGACCACCAACCACAGGAAATGACCAAAGAAGTAAATAGACAGTTTGTAGGAAAAGTAAAACAAATGGTTCTTAATCAAATGAGAAAAGTGAAAATTAAAGGTTTGTGAAGTTGCCACTTCTCACCGAGAGGCTGACAGAATCCCAAGTTGGAAACAGACACTCAAGTATCAAGGATGGTCACAGCAAAATTATCCCAATAGAGGTAGGTTTTGTTAAAGCAGGGTTACATATCCACTTATACTTTGTCCTACCAGTTCAATTCCTAGGAGTCTATCCCAAAGGTATGCTTTCAAAAATTAAAAATACATGCACGTAGCTATTGCAAAATTTTTTGTAACAGTAAAATTAGAATCAAAATTGATAAGGAGTCAATTAAAACTGTGGCATATCCACACAATATGGATACTTTGGTTGTAAGAATAACTCAGCTGCTGCTCCTTAATGCCCCTGGTAATTGAGGAAAAAAAAGCCAGAGGAAAGTGTATATTTTTTTGTAAGATGGGTAGGTCTACATATACAATACATGCTTTTTAATTTTTTTTATACATTGAAGGTTTAGCCATAATTTTTAAAAATAGATACTAAAAGAGGGACGGGGAGAAAGGGGGTTTCTGGTTTTTTAATTCAAATTTTCATAGCATACGTGAATTACAGAAAGGAGTTTTGTTATATTTCCACTCAGGCATGCAATACACTTTGATCATCCTAACCCCTCTGTTATTCTGTCTTGTCACCTATCTCTCCCTCCCTTCTTTTTCTATAATTTTAGGGGTTTTATTCTATTTTTATACATGCTACATGCTGGGCCCCCTTTTACATTCATGTTATTTTTTGGGTTTATTTTTCACACATGAGAGAAAACATGCGATATTTGTCCTGAGCCAGGCTTATTTCGCTCAACATGATGATCTCCAGTTCAACCCATTTTCCTGCAAATAACATAACTTTATTTTTCTTTATAGCTGAATAATACTCCATTGTGTATATGTACCACGTTTTGTTTATCCATCCTGAGGCACCTAGCCTGATTCCACAGCTTGGCTATTGTGAATGATGCTGCTGCAAACATGAATGTACAGGTACCTCTACTGTATGCTGGACATTGCTTCATATGTATGCCTACAAGTGTTAATAGCAAAGTCATAAAGTAGTTTTGTTTTAATTTTCATGGAACTTCGTATTCATTTCCGTTTTGGCTGTACTAATTTACATTTCAATCAACAGTATATAAAGATTCCTTCCCTCCCCGACTCCTATCCTTGTCAGCATTTGTTGTCTGTTTTCTTGATTATTGCATTCTGATGGGTAAGATGGAATCTGTGTTTTGATGATTTGTATTTCTTTTATGGCTAAGGAATTAGCTGTTTGTACTTAGAACTGTGAAGTTCATTTGTCTATTTACTAATTAGATTGTTCTTTTGGTGTTTAATTTTTTGAGCTCTTTATATATTCTGAATATTCCCTTGTTTATGAATACAAAGATTTTCCCCCATTCTGTAGGCTGTCAATTCTGGTAATTGTTTCCTTTGATGTACAGAAACTTCTTAATTTGACACAACCCCGTTTGTCAGTACTTGCTCTTATGGTTGGAACTACTAGAGTCTTATTCAAAAACTCATTGCATATGCCTGTATCTTCAGCTGTCTTCCCTATGTTTTCCTCTAGTGGTTTCAGATCTTCAGGTCTTACATGAAGGTCTTTCATCCATTTTGAATTGATTTTTGTATAGGGTCAGAGATAGGGGTCTAGCTGCAGTCTTCCACATTTGGGTATCCAGTTTTCCCAATGTATGTTTTTGGCACCTGTTTTGAAAATCAGATGGCTATAGTTGTGTGGGGTCTTCTGTTCTTTTTTCTGGGTTTTCTATTCTCCATTGGTCTAGGTGTCTGTTTTTGTGCCAGTACCATGCTGTTTTTGTTACTATGGCTCTGTAGTAAAGTCAGGTATTGTAATACGGTCAGCTTTGTTCATTTTACTCAGTTTTGCTTTGGCTCTGTGGGTTCTTTTGTGTTTACATACAAATTTTAGGATTGAGTTTTCTATTTCTGTGAAGAATGACATTGAGATTTTGATGAGGATTGCACTGAATCTGTAGATTGCTTTTGGTAGTGTACCAATTTTTACAACATTAATTTTGCCTATCCATTAGCATAGGATATCTTTCCATCTCCTAGTGTTCTCTTCAGTTTCTTTCTTCAAAGTTTTATAGTTTTCATTGTAGAGGTCTTTCATCTCCTTGGTTAAGTTTACTCTTAGGTATTTTAATTTCTTGTAGGCATTGCAAATGGGATTGTTTTCTGATTTCTTTCTCAGCTTGTTTGTTTTAGTGTATAGAAAAGCAACTGATTTTCCTATGTTGATTTTGTACCTGCTTTGCCAAAAATGTTTATCAGATCTGAGTTTTTTGGTGGCGTCTTCAGGGTTTTCTCATTATAGGATCATGTCTTCTGCAAATAGGGATAATTCAGCTTCTTCTTTGCCTATTTGTATACCTTTTGTTTCATTTTCTTGTCTTATTATGCTGGCTAAAAATTCAAGTTCTTTAGCAGCCTAACAGAATCCAGCAATGAATCCCTCTCGTCCTTGACTTTTCTTTGGGAGACTCTTTGTTACTGCTTCAATCTCATTTCTATTTATAGATCTGTTTAAGTGGTTTATATCTTCTTGGTTCAGTTTTGGTAGGTCATATGCATCTAGAAGTTTATCTATTTCTTCTAGAGTTTCCAGTTTATTGGAATATTAGTTTTCAAATATTTCCTGGTGATCCTCTGAATTCCATTGGGCATATAGCCCCTTCTTATCTCTAATTTTATTAGTAAGGGTCTTCTCCTTGTTTCTTTTGGTTTGTTTGGCCAAGAGTTTGTCAATCTTGTTTATGTTTTCATAAAACCAATTCTGCTTCATTGATCATTTATACTGTTCTTTTTGTCTGCATTTCATTGATTTTTGCTGTGATCATAATTTATTGCTTTCCATATTCTGCTTTTGGGTTTGTCATGTTCTTGTTTTTCTAAGAGCCTGAGATGCATCATTAGGTTATTTAAGGCCTCTGATTTTTTTTTTTTAGTGATGAAACCCAAAGCTGTATATTTTCCTCTTTGCACTGCCCTTACTGTGTTCTAAGGGTTCTGGTAAGATGTGTTTTCATTTTCATTAGATTTTATGAATTTTTGATTTCCCCTCATATTTCTTCAATGACTCACTCACTGATCATTTAAAAGTGTATTGTTCAGTCTCTGTGTGTTTTAATATTTTCTGTAATTTCTTGTTGATTTCTACTTTTATTCTATTATGATATAAAATACAAGAAGTTTGAATTTTCTAGAACTTCTTTGAACATCCACTTTCTTTATTGATTTGACTTTGGAGTCATTTAAATGCTTTTACAAAGTTGTTAAAAAAAAAAACCTCCAGAAAAGTGAAGTATGTACATAAATGTGTACCCAGTTGGTGCTATAGCCACAGAAGAGAAGTGTTGTGATGTAAAATTAAATCATTTTTACCTCCCTAGTAGAGTATATAGTAAGGGAAAAAAGAACTGCAGAAAATCACCTTAAACTGTTGACAGTAATCATATTGTTGGTGGCAGCATTGGTATTATTCAGGATTGTTGTGTGGAATAAAGTATTGTGGGGTACACCCAGTGGGTAATATGATACTGTAATGCCACTGTTACTTAGGACTGGGATTCTTAACTTGAAAGGAGACTTAAGTAATATCTGTATATTCCTATTTTTAATTAGAATGATAAGTATAAACTGAATAAATTTTATTTAAGAAATAATGGATGTGTCCTGCAGAAAGTGTATGAGTTGAAGCTGCAATATCTTGCCATGCCAGATAGCAAGAAAGCTAACAAAGATTATTTAGTATGCTTTCAAAAGGATAGGTGAATCAATTTGGATATAGCACAATTTACACAATAAAGAAAATAACAGTGAATTAAAACATTGAATGTGCCTGATTTCAAAATGGTAATAAAAAGGCATGCAAACCACACATAAAGTAAAACACTAATTGGTCACCAGCTGTGAATGGCTAGGAGCTCACTCATTATTTTGAAAACTGATAAATAGAATATTCTCTGACTTTTCCATGGGAAATATACCACTGGTTAGGCAAGTAATGGATTACCTTCTTAAAAAAAAAAAATGCACTTAAGGAATTAAAAAGGAATGATGGAATTACTGTCTCATCCTTTTGCACCTTCCAATGGAAATAAGCTTTGTTCAATAAGAGCTGCTCAAATCCGTAAGAGGCACATGGTTCCATCAAGCAATTTCTGGTGGAGAGTCACACTGCTACCTGTAAAGTAATTTTGCCAAAAAGAGTTAAATCTTAGATCAAGCATCTACCAAATTAACAGGAAATAGGAGCCCTGGAGACCAGGTTGAATAACACAACAAGGATACATCTTAACAGGAAATAGCAGTGCTGTAGACCAGATTGAATGAGTAGGATACACCTGGCACAATTGTTTCCTCAAAAATTGCAAGGGGGAAAAGCAATGGAGGAATTCCAGTAGAGTAACAGGCACTTGGGAAGTGTTCTGGCCACCATGCATGAACCTGATTTGGACCTCGAAGCAAAACTCAACTTAAAAAAAAAAAAGTACGATGCAACTAGAAATTTGCATGCTGGTTATTTAATGATTTTAAGGAATTAATGTTATCTTTTGAGGTGTGATAATGGTATTGTAACTTTATTTTGTAAGAGTCCTTGTGATGCCTACTAAAATTTTCACAATTAATGGTGTGATGTTTGGTATTTGCTTCAGACTAATATGGGGAAGTCAGTTGGCATGTAAATGAAACAGGATTGGTTGAGAGCTATTATTTTAACTGGGTGAGGTTGATGTGTACAGTACATGGTGGCTCATTGTACTATACTCTTCAGCTTTTCTGAAAGTTTGAGTGTTTTTCATAATAAAAATAGCACCACAACTACCATCAACCCCACCAGATTACAGCCACCTTAATAAATACATGCTTACTGAAAAATAAAAAATAACAAAAGGACGAAACAAGAAAGGGAAATACAAAACACCAGTCACAATTGTACTTCCTGGAGACATTCATGTTTTGTTCATTTTCCCCAATATCATCCCTGAGTCATGGGTGCGGGTAGGGTACAGTGTAATTTTTGTTCTTGTTTCTGCCCTCTGCTCTCCCTCCCTCCATCTCTACATTAAAAGCAACAGTAGGGAACTAGGGTGTAGCTCGGTGGTACGGCAGGCACATGGCCCTGGGTTTAATTCTCAGCACTGAAAACCATGATTTTTACTTATTTCATATACATGTGAGGCAGTAGGGCCTAATATTTTAATCACTACTTTTGGAGTCAAATCTGGTTTCAAAACCAGGCCTGCCTATTGTGTTCTGAATATGAAATGTCCTCTGTAGGCTCTTTGTTGACAGCATGGTCCCCAGCAGATGGCACTAATTTGGAAGATTCTGGAAACTTTAGGACCCTAGCCTGAGGAAGCAGGTCACTGGGGGCATGTCCTTGAGGACTGTAACTTGTGCACATTGCCTGCCCCCACCTCCACTCTTCCATCCCCATTTCCTGGCTACCAGGAGTTGAACAGCTCTCTGCTCTACCATATCCTTCTGCCAAGACAAACTGAAACGATGAGACAAAATTTTTTTAAAAACAAAATTTTCTGCCATGTATTTTGTCACATGACAAAAAGTCTAACACACTGCCTTTGCTACCTAGCTGTCTTAGGAAATACTTCTTAATGTCTGAGTTTTAGTTTCCTTATCTGTGTAATTTATAGAGTTGTTAATGAGATTAACAAGGTAAAGTATTAACATACAAAACATAGATAATCTGACACAAAGGTTTACAATATGATTTGGTAATTGATTATTTAATTAAATTTGTAACAGTTACAGGAAGCCTAGTTGCCCTTTTTAACTCACAAGCATGTCTCCTAGCACATCTAATGACCACCATAGAATATTAGGGTTGGCTGAAGGCTTCATAGTTTTCAGCCATGAAACCAGTTTGCTTTTCTCAAAGTAATGACGTGATATATATAAAATAAGAGTTGAGACACTGGTTGAAATCAAAGCAAGGGTGGATATTCCTTTCATAGTAGGATCTAGTATGACAGATTTTGGTGGCTGAGTCCTTGATACTGTTGCGTACAAACATCACAGTTATTTTGAAGTATGTGTTAGTTTTTGCCAATCTTGAGTTAAGAGAATCTCAATGACTGATACCCTATTAAA